CTCCACAACGCCCCGCACTACGCCGTACCACACCGTACCACGCAGCACCGCTCAAAGGAGGTGGCGCCGTTGTGTGATGATTTGTTCCCGTAGCCATAGAAGATTGTTAGTCAAATTGTAATGAATATGATAAGTAGAGCTGGTTTGGCTCCCCATGTAAACTTTGACACAGTCTGTAGGGGGCGCTAATGGGCCAATTTCCAATATTTCACTTTAACCTGACCTAAACCCTGGAATTGAACAATGGATTAAAGTTTTGTGCAAATCAGACTTTGTTTGTGCAAACAGGAGCAAAATTAATGTTGTCAAAAAGAGCAAAAAAAAAACCTCACATTTTGCCGCTCCGCTGCTCAAACAACGTTTAACGGATCAAAATTCCCTGAAGTCAGTTTGAAGGTACATGTGTTGAGATGATGTGGAGCGATTTTGAGGCGAATCAGTGAAACGGCCGAGGCTGGTTTGATGTTTGTGTGAGGTGTACATTTGCAATGAATGGGGAGCGTTTCTCGTCGCCACGGCAACAGGGTAAAAAATAAGCCTTGGACCCTATTGACTTTTTGAATCAAGAGGGAAAAACGGATTCATGTGCAAAATTTCAAACATTTTGAAAAAACTAAATTTGAAAATGCCCATCTAAAACTTTGAAATAGTCTGTAGGGGGCGCTAATGTGTCAATTTGAATTAATTCACCTTCAAACGACTTAGACCTGATCAAAAATCCACTGAAGTCATTTTGAAGGTAAATGTGTTGAGATGATTTGTAAGGTAATGTTTGAGATGATGTGAATTTTGAGGCAATCGTGAAACGGCCGAGGAGGAGTCGCTTTCCAACCGACGTGTATGAGAATGATTGGTTTTCATTTTTCCATTTTGCAGTGAAATTTATGGGCTTCCTGTTTGTCGGAGGGATTAGCCATAATTACATTTTTTCCATGTCTTGACTTGAGGAACATGTGTACCAAATTAAATGGTTCTACGAAAATTTTGACCTCGAACCCCCTCCCATAGGCATTTTTAAATTGGCTGTTGTAGGTGGCACTATAGAGCCAATTTCAAAATTCTAACTTTCAAATGACCTAGACCCAAGAGTTGAACCATGGATTCAAGTTTTGTGCAAATCAGACTTTGTTTGTGCAAACGGAAGCAATTTTTCTATTGTCAAAAACTGAAAAAAAATACGCCAGTTTTTGGCGCTCTGCTGCTCAAACAGCGTTTCACTGATCAAAATTCCCTGAAGTCATTTTGATGGTACATGTGTTGAGATGATGTGGAGCGATTTTGACGCGAATCTGTGAAACGGCCAAGGCTGGTTTGATGTTTGTGTGAGGTGTACATTTGCAATGAATGGGGAGCGTTTGTCGTCGCCACGGCAACAGGGTAAGAAATAAGCCTTGGACCCTATTGACTTTTTGAATCAAGAGGGCAAAACAGATTTATGCACAAAATTTCAAACATTTTGAAAAAACTAAATTTGAAAATGCCCATCTAAAATTTTGAAATAGTCTGTAGGGGGCGCTAATGTGTCAATTTGAATCACTTCACTTTCAAATGACCTAGACCCTAGAGTTGAACAATGTATTAAAGTTTTGTGCAAATCAGACTTTGTTTGTGCAAACGGGAGCAAATTTAATGTTGTCAAAAACGGCCAAAAAAAGGTCACATTTTGCCGCTCCGCTGCTCGAACAATGTTTCACTGATCAAAAATCCCTGAGGTCATTTTGAAGGTACATGTGTTGAGATGATGTGGAGCGATTTTGAGGCGAATCGGTGAAACGGCCGAGGAGGAGTCGCTTTCCAACCGACATGTATGAAAACTTTTGCAGTTCATTTTTCCATTTTGCAGTGAAATTTATGGGCTTCCTGTTTGTCAGGGGGCGGGGCCATAATAATATTTTTTTCTTGTCTTGACTTGAAAAACATGTGTACCAAATCTCATGTTTCTACGACAATTTTGACCTCCGAAAAGTCCCATAGGGGTATTATTTTGGCTGTTGTAGGTGGCGCTGTTCTGTCATTTTTTGAGTCCCATAAAAATAAACACCAAAATATCAAATTTTTCGCCAGGTCTGATTTTTGGGCCAAAATTAACAACTTTTCATGCATGTTCAGGGGGTCAAATTAAGGCTCAAAGTGCAGAAGAAAAAAGAAAGAAATAAATAAATTAAAGCCGCAAGCGGCGTCGAACGGCCCTCGCCGCACTGCGCGACTCCCCGCACTGCGCGCACCACCCCGTTCCACGCCGCCCCGCACCAAGCCACGCCGCACCACGCATCCCTGCACCACGCTGTCCCGTCTCACGCCGCCCCGCACCAAGCCGCAATGCGCCGCTCCACAACGCCCCGCATTACGCCGCACCACACCGTACCACGCAGCACCGCTCAAAGGAGGTGGCGTCGTTGTGTGATGATTTGTTTCCGTAGCCATAGAAGATTGTTAGTCAAATTGTAATGAATATGATAAGTAGAGCTGGTTTGGCTCCCCATGTAAACTTTGACTCAGTCTGCAGGGGGCGCTAATGGGCCAATTTTAAATATTTCACTTTCAAATGATCTAAACCCTGGAGTTGAACAATGGATTCAAGTTTAATGCAAATCAGACTTTGTTTGTGCAAATGGGAAAAAAATTAATGTTGTCAAAAACGGCCAAAAAAACCCTCACATTTTGCCGCTCCGCTGCTCGAACAATGTTTCACTGATCAAAAATCCCTGAGGTCATTTTGAAGGTACATGTGTTGAGATGATGTGGAGCGATTTTGAGGCGAATCAGTGAAACGGTCGAGGAGGAGTCGCTTTCCAACCGACATGTATGAAAATGATTATTTTTCATTTTTCCATTTTGCAGTGAAATTTATGGGCTTTCTGTTTGTCAGAGGGATTAGCCATAATAAAACAAGTTCAATGTCTTGACTTGAGGAACATGTGTTCCAAATTACATGGTTCTATGACAATTTTGACCTTGAACCCCTCCCATAGGCATTTTTAAATTGGCTGTTGTAGGTGGCGCTATAGAGCCAATTTCAAAATTTGAACTTTCATTTGACCTAGACCCAAGAGTTGAACCATGGATTCAAGTTTTGTGCCAATCACACTTTGTTTGTGCAAACGGAAACAATTTTTCTATTGTCAAAAACTGAAAAAAAATACGCCACTTTTTGGCGCTCCGCTGCTCGAACAACGTTTCACTGATCAAAATTCCCTGAAGTCATTTTGATGGTACATGTGTTGAGATGATGTGGAGCGATTTTGAGGCAAATCGGTGAAACGGCCGAGGCTGGTTTGATGTTTGTGTGAGGTGTACATTTGCAATGAATGGGGAGCGTTTCTCGTCGCCACGGCAACAGGGTAAAAAATAAGCCTTGGACCCTATTGACTTTTTGAATCAAGAGGCAAAACAGATTTATGTGCAAAATTTCAAACATTTTGAAAAAACTAAATTTGAAAATGCCCATCTAAAACTTTGAAATAGTCTGTAGGGGGCGCTAATGTGTCAATTTGAATTAATTCACCTTCAAACGACCTAGACCCTAGAGTTGAACAATGTATTAAAGTTTTGTGCAAATCAGACTTTGTTTGTGCAAACGGGAGCAAATTTAATGTTGTCAAAAACGGCCAAAAAAAGGTCACATTTTGCCGCTCCGCTGCTCAAACAATGTTTCACTGATCAAAAATCCCTGAGGTCATTTTTAAGGTACATGTGTTGAGATGATGTGGAGTGATTTTGAGGCGAATCGGTGAAACAGCCGAGGAGGAGTCGCTTTCCAACCAACATGTATGAAAACTTTTGCTGTTCATTTTTCCATTTTGCAGTGAAATTTATGGGCTTCCTGTTTGTCAGAGGGCGGGGCCATAATAATATTTTTTTCTTGTCTTGACTTGAGGAACATGTGTAATTCATAAATTACACATGGAACATCAATTTTTCTGGCCTGATTTAAACATTCATTTAAACCAAATATTGAAATGTTGTTTTCATTTTTTGAAAGTTTTACGCATTTTTCTGTCATTTATAAACCTACAAAATAGAAAGACTGGAATGATGTTAGTCAGGTTTATTGCAAAATCTAAATGAAATAATAATGTAGTGATGTAAAAACAAGTTGTTATTGTGATAGTTTTGTCAAGGGGAAGAACTCTTTAACCATATTATTGTTGAAAAATACTCACTGTACATAATAGTAACATGTTTGATGTGTTTGGTTTCAAAATGAAATACAATTCAAGCAAAGGAAAGTTTATTTTTGTACAGCACAGTTCATACAAAATACAAGCGCTTAAAAAAACAATCACACATGGCATAAATGATCACAGCACATTAAAAAGAGTAAAGATAAAATCCTTCAGTTGTATTCAGAGCTAAACAGAAGTGTTTTTATCCTGGATTTGAACAATGTCAGAGAAAAAACCTGTTTCATCTAATCATAGGAAGACTGTTCCAGATTTTAGCTGCATGAATCTGAAGTTGCACCATGCATAGTTTTTAACACCTGAACAATGTAGTTTACTGCCTGTGGGTTTCTGAAAAGGAGGGCCATTAGCATCAACAAGTAAAACATTTCTCTTTTGAATAGGGAAAATGTCAAACTGTTGATCCTGACTAGAACCAGGAAGTATGATCACATTAGTCCAGTTCTCAGGTCTCTGCACTAGCTTGTGGCTCAGAGAATAGACTTTAAAACAGCTCTGCTTGTGTACAAGTCTCTCCATGGCCTCGCACCAAACTACATCTGTGACATGTTAGTCCCATATGAACCAGCCCGGACTCTGAGGAGCACAGGGACTGGACTCCTGCTGGTGCCCAGAGTCTTCCTGAGACAAGCTCCTTCTCTGACAATGTTCATTTCAGTTTTGGTTGCCTTGTGTATGAATTGTGCTATACAAATAAACTTGCCTTGATACTTCTGAAACTTGTGTATATTTCCTCTTCATACATACACATTGAGAATGCCCAGTCTTGTCTCCTGTCTTCCTTACGTACATTGCATTGTATTTAATGTGGGGTTGATGTTTCGATGCGCAGGTCCTCAGTATGGCTCAGTGGAGCGGGCCTGGCTGGGCGTCATGACGGAGGCGGAGAAGGTGAGCGAGCTGCACCAGGACGTGAAGAACAACCTGGTGAACGAGGACGTGGAGAAAGTGAAGAACTGGCAGAAAGAAGCTTATCACAAACAGATGATCGGAGGCTTCAAAGAGGCCAAGGAGGCAGAGGAGGGCTTCAAGAAGGCTCAGAAACCCTGGGCCAAGAAGCTCAAGGAGGTGAGCACTACACACACAACAAAACACAACACTCTTTTTCATATGTTACAGGCTTATCCTCTAAATAAATAAATATGCAGGAATTGGTTTAGGGCTCAGTCAAAACATTTCATGGAACCTGGGATCCTTTTATTAAGTTTATTGACTCTATGACGTTTTATTGTGACCTGGAAGAGGATTAAATTGCAACAGGGGGTATAGTTTATTTGTATATCCACTTGAATTCATGTTTTGTTTGTGTTTGTGTGTGTTTTATATTTTAATTTACTTTATTTTTGCATTTTGTGATATTTTATGGCCCGGGTGGGGTTGGAGGGGCACTATTTGACTGTATTCTCTTTCACTGGTTTTTACATAACTGAATGCTGTATGTCTATTAATGTTAAAATTGTATGGATTAAAGTTGGGGGGAAAAAGAATACCATGCTACAATCGTCTACTGCTCAATCCCCATTTGGTGACCTTCCACTGGCCACTAGATTATTATCAGTACCAAAATATTTTCATGGATAGCACATAGCTTGTGCGGAGGCTCTATGGATACAGTACCATATTCCACAGTTTACCAGAAATACAACCAGTAATAGTAAAGGTCCATGTAGGTCTAGTTTATTAAGGACAATGTGCAGTTACATTAAAAAGATGGCTGCACCAGATTTAGTACCATGTTACTTTCCATCTGTAGTCCTTGATAATACATCATCCATCCATCCATTTTCTTCCCCTTAATCCATTTCTGCGTCGGGGGTGGCAGTCAGAGCTGCAGCCAGTCCACAGAGCACCAGCACAATACAATCATAAAAAGTTCCATATAAACATACAGTTCAAATAAAAAGTGCTGGTTACTAACTTACATATTAAAATACAGGTCAACAGTTAACCCATCCCAGACACATGAAGCTGGGTTTAGATTATTAGATTGCAGGCAAACAGTAAACAGCTTTATATTACATGTACATTAACTTTTACAGTAACAGTAACTGCCAAAGTTTTATACAATAGCTCACAGGAACAAGGGAATACTGTATTTTATTATTACGGTCATTTATTTTACTGCACAACAAAAATACCTACAAAATACAGTACACTTGAACCACTATCAATCATGGTTAATGGTGATTCCGTGGACCACTCCAAGATGAATGGGAAATTACATTGACATTCAATACTACAGCACTATATTGTGTCTTTGTCTTTTTTTATGTATATTATGTATATTTTTGTGTATGTTTTTGTATTTTTTTTAATTATTTTTTTCTGCCTGAAATAAAGATTGATTGAATTTAATGCATGCACATTTTAAGCACGTAATTAGCTTGTTCAAATATGTTTTTAAATATAGCCTTAGTCTCAAAAAATAAATATCAGTTTCACACAAAAGGGGTAATGAGGACAGTTCTAAATTAGCTATTAAAAAAAGGCCTATAATAAAACATAATGTGGATGTGGGCCAATTCACAAGGATGCACGTGGCCATGAGACAGGCCATAGTTTGGACTCCCCTACTCTTATGTTTAGAGAAATGACTGTTTTGGCAGATTATGACAGTTTTATAAATGGTTGTCCAAAATACCGTCTCTTGAGCCTGATAAAATGGACAGTTTTGGCATCTCTAATCTGTGTCTGGTTCCGCAGATGGAGACGGCAAAGAAAGCCTACCACATGGCCTGTAAGGAGGAGAAGCTGGCCGCCACCAGAGAGGCCAACGGGAAGACCGAGGCTTCTGTTACAGCCGACCAGCAGAAGAAACTCCACGAGAAAGTCGATAAATGCAAACAGGACATGCTCAAAGTAGGTTCGGCTCAAATTTTACACATGTGCAAGGTGATTTATACGCAAATGCTGTTAAAAATCCCATTGCATAAAGTGAATATCTTGTCAGGGTAGTATTTTTGACTGTATGGGGTTATTTGCTATTTCCAGTTACACCAAACCTTTGAAAAAGACTGAATTTGAGACAACCACTATCCCACTATATGTTTAAAATGTGTGGGGAAAACATGTGATGACATAGCCAGCAAAATATAAATATAATATATATTTGTATATATATATATATATATATATATATATATATATACAAAAATTGTCAAAAAAAAACATTTATTTTCATTCCAAATTTGCTATAAAGATTTCCACCTTGAACAAAATCCAGTGATTTGTACTAAAATTGCCACAAAAAAGAAATTGGGATTACCGTAAGTATTTCTCGCGCTGTACTTGCTACAGTACAAAAAAAACTTAAATGGCACATTTGGTCCCTCTCTCTGCAAAAAGGGATTGGAAATTCAAAATCTTGATCTTGAGTCAAGTACATTTTGGCTATTTCAAAATAAGATTTCCAACGAGACAAGCCAGGATTTCTTAAACTGCTCGTCCTATTGGTAAATCTGAAACCACAAGACACAAGACAAAGAAACCTCTCCATTCAAGTATGTCATGGAAAAAAGTGACAAAACCTGGGGAAAGACATTGGACCGACAACGAAAAGAGCATTTATTTGGATTCATACTCAAGGCAACTCAAAGTGCTGAACAGAATAATAAAAAATCATACAAGGCATTAAACCATAAATAATCACAGTACATTAAAAAGAGTGAAGATGAAATCCCTCAGAAACCAAACTGTTTTTTTTACATGGATTTGAACATTTTCAGAGAAGAGGCCTGATTTAGAAAGATACATCGTTGGCCAGTTCTTTAACTTTTTTGGATCAGTAACATACAGTAACTAAACTAAAAATCAACCAGAAAATAATATCCACACTCATGTTTAATTGAAGTACTCCTTTTGTCTAAATCCATTGTGTAAAAAAAATCATTCAAATATCCACAGAGGCAAAGATGAGCTTCAACACTTTTCATGCAACTTCACACTTTCATACCTGGGAGCTATTATTTTTCTAAATCCAGCCTTCCACCAAAATTAGTTTGACAAACCTGCACTAAACCAACAACATTGCAAATCCAGCCAAATTTCTAAAAGTCTTTCGTCTTTCTCCAGGCCAAGGAGAAGTATGAGAAGTCCCTGGAGGAGCTGAACAAATGCACCCCTCAGTACATGGAGAGCATGGAGCAGGTGTTCGACCAGTGTCAGCAGCACGAGGTCCGGAGACTCAACTTCCTCAAAGAGGCTCTGCTGGACATCAAGAAGCACCTGAACCTCACAGAGAACCAGAGGTAGGTCTGATCAAGAAGCACCTGAACCTCACAGAGAACCAGAGGTAGGTCTGCTCAAGAAGCACCTGAACCTCACAGAGAACCAGAGGTAGGTCTGATCAAGAAGCACCTGAACCTCACAGAGAACCAGAGGTAGGTCTGCTCAAGAAGCACCTGAACCTCACAGAGAACCAGAGGTAGGTCTGCTCAAGAAGCACCTGGACCTCACAGAGAACCAGAGGTAGGTCTGATCAAGAAGCACCTGAACCTCACAGAGAACCAGAGGTAGGTCTGCTCAAGAAGCACCTGGACCTCACAGAGAACCAGAGGTAGGTCTGCTCAAGAAGCACCTGGACCTCACAGAGAACCAGAGGTAGGTCTGATCAAGAAGCACCTGAACCTCACAGAGAACCAGAGGTAGGTCTGCTCAAGAAGCACCTGGACCTCACAGAGAACCAGAGGTAGGTCTGATCAAGAAGCACCTGGACCTCACAGAGAACCAGAGGTAGGTCTGATCAAGAAGCACCTGAACCTCACAGAGAACCAGAGGTAGGTCTGCTCAAGAAGCACCTGAACCTCACAGAGAACCAGAGGTAGGTCTGCTCAAGAAGCACCTGGACCTCACAGAGAATCAGAGGTAGATCAGCACCGGCTCAGAGACTCAGAGGACTCCAGCTTTTCCCCTATTGAGTCATACACTGCAAATATATATATATAATAATAAGCTTGAAGCAGGTGAAAATTTGTATTAATCTGAGGCAATTTAGTGTGTCCTAAATCAAGATACACAAATGAGACATGCAAGAAATCTTATAATAGTTTTCAACACACAAGAAAATCCCCCTTTGCAAATCCAGACAAAATTGATTAAAACTAAGATCAAAACTATGTTATATAAACATTTAGCTACATACAGCTATTAGTAATTAGGTGACAAAGGCTGATCCTCCCAGACCTCTCAAACTAAGCAGGGCAGGGCCTGGTTAGAACAATTATGGGAGAACTCTGGGAACATCAAGTGCCACTGTGCGGCGGCTATGGCTGTAAAGTGCCAAACTGTCATTGTGTCCTCGAGCAAGTCACTCGCTTCTGTCAATCTGCCCCAGGACAGTAATAATATCACTATGACACCACTGTGAATGGAGTGCAAGAATGTGTAGCATTGTTGAGTGTCCAAAAGACGCTATATACATAATTACTTTAGCATGATGCATCCATAAATCAATACATGTGGGTTTCCAGATTCTACAATGCAAAGATGTCCCCCAACGTTAATGACCAATAATGGCGTCCTGGATTCACTTATGATTGCGGTGCGACATGAGCACAAAAAGTTTAGCCTGGAACCTCACAGAACAGCTGTTATTCAAAACAATTCATCCTTCATTTGTCTATAATTAATTAGATCTGTGCATTCAACAGTTCACGGCAGAAAAAGCTTCGTCGGTTTCTCTCATCACTGCTCAGACTTCCAACACTAATTAATTGATGTTTCAGGCAACACTGTTTGTGCCAAAGTGGATTTCACTCACAGTGGCAGCCTGTCGTGTTTGCAATACTTTACAGCCAAGATGGAACAAACAGCAACCACCTACAGCTAACATCATAAGATTTAGGCAAATATACAGACATTAGCGACGACTTAGCATTAGCCACAACTCTTATTCACTGACTTAGCATTAGCCACAACTCTTATTCACTGACTTAGCATTAGCCACAACTCTTATGTACTACTAACAAGCCAACGTTTCCATTTTAAAACAGTATTGCATCGTTCTAATCCAAATAATTCTTAATAATTGTAGAAATGTTTTAAACTGACAAAGAAAATGACCGAAAACAAAATGTGTAGGAGACAAATGCAATTGTTATCCGAACATAGAAGGCTAACCACGACAAATGTATTATCTTAGAAGTGTGGCTAACAATGAATTAATTCACTTAGAAGATTGGCTTCAATCAACAATTTAACTTAAGAGCATGGATAACCACAACTTGAAAATTAAGTTAGAAGAATGGCTGACAACTCTTCTAACCACAATGGATGAAGTAGCAGAATGGCTAACCACAATTAATGAATCAACTTAGAAGCATGGCTATCCTTTTGACATTAGACAAACTTTAACCTACTGCTCTGTGGTTTTCTCAATATATGTTGTAATTTGCAAAGTATAACATGCCTTTACTTTGTTTTTAAAGTAAGGAGTAAAAATAGAACGTTTTTAGGAAGATAAATAGTAATAGAAGAAGTAAAGTGTAGGAAAAAATACATAAGTAACTGTCTTTGAGTCCAGTAACTGTTACCACCTCTGACAGTAACATTATACATAATTAGTTAAGTTAATTCCCGGATTTAACCTCATACACAGCTCCTGCTCCCTTCATTAGTCTCATTATACCCTGTTCTAGATGGTCTGGTACAATGTGAGCAGCTCTCCTGGTTGATTTGCCAGACTGGCCCGGAGTCAACCATATGGTGCATGGACGGTGCCGGTTTTGTCCCTGATTGTGTCTTCTTTTCCCCTGAAGCTACGCCACAATATACAGAGAGCTGGAACGCACCATCCTGGCTGCAAACTCACAAGAGGACCTCAAGTGGTTCAGCAACAACCACGGACCTGGCATGCATATGAACTGGCCGGCTTTCGAGGTACGCTGGTCTAATATATAAAAACATCTGTGATCATTCATCAGAAAGAGTTGTTCGGAGGTTATAATTTAATGTTTGCAACTTTTCACAAATAGGAGTACAACCCTGATGCTGCTGCTGCTCCTATAAAGAAAAAGAAGCCAGATGGAGCCCCACCCACCCCCAGCACAGACCATGTGGCGCCACCTGGTGACCGCAGCAGGTATGTTGTTTTTCTATTTTTGTGGGTTACTGTTTTGGCTGGAGATGATCTGCATGACACAACAAGAAACAAATGTGGATGGGAAAGATTGTGATAATATTTGGGGGTATTTTACTGTCATATGGATTGTGTATGTCTGTGCGGTTAGGAAGGACAGAGAAAGTAATGAAATGGAATGATTTTTTTTAATGAATGGAATCTTGGCAGAGTGAATGAATGAGATGGAAGTAATCTCCATCTTGATTTTTGACATTTATGCCAATGAAACCATATGTTTGGCCTTGTGCATTTCCAAATTGCATAAAAATGTGGAATTTTGATCCGGGAGGATATGGAGATCTGATTTAAATCACACAATATGGTTATGAGCACTGCTGCATGTTAGTTTGTAAATAGTTTTTGGGCATTGAGGGTGCCGCTGCTGAACGGAGAAATGACCGGAGAAGACATTATATTTACAAAAGCAGGTTTCATACAAGACTGCAACTCAAAGCGCTTAAAGGACAAGAGAAAACAACACTGCCTGATGATGAGAAAGCTTAAACAAGTCTTTAGTTTATTTTAAATGAGCTCACGGCCGGTATACATTTAATATCATTAGGCAGAACATTATATTTACGAGGAGCATAATGGGAGAAAATAGAGATAGATACTTTATTCATCACACTGGGGCAGCACAGTGACACATCCGTTAGCGGTTGTGCTTCATAGCAAAATGGTTAAATTCTGGCCTTTCTGTGTCGAGTTTCATTCTCGCCATGTCTTCTCCAGTTTCCTCCAGGCGCTCCGGTTTTCCCTACCATTAAAAACATGTGCAATAGGTCTGGCATGTTCCCTCTGCATACAGGTGACCCCGCTCCCATCACTTTGTGGACTGAGAGGAAAAAGGCCCACAACAACTGTAAAGCCTTTTGTGATTCTGTCTGTGAAAGGTGCTGTATAGATAAAGTAGCCGATGCAGACAATACAGACAGGGCAAGTTTGACCCAGAAGGGGCATTGTTAGCTCAAGTTGTTTCTCTTCATAATTTCAACATATGGCATCCATTATTGTTTTTTGTCTATCAGTTATGTGATGGGTTATTGTTTTGTAAGGACTGAATAAGTATTGGAGCTTTTGAGTACAGTTGATCTATCTATCAATCATGTTTATTTCAAAACAAGGCCCAAACACTCTCTGACCCTACAACCCTCTCCCACTACACGCTCTGTGCTGAAGTCATCACTCTCTTTCCCCCTCTTACTTCTTCAATATTTATTTTTACAGTTTTTTTGAACGATTCATCTGTTAGTTGTATCTCCCCACACTGAGATTAATGTACTTATATAGCACTCCTTTAGAAACTGTTTAAATGATGACACCTCCTCTCTCCTTCCCCCGCAGTGTGAGCAGCTACGACAAAAACCAGACCTTCTCAGCCGAATGGTCCGATGACGAGCAGCCGGCCACCTACTCGGGCAACGAAAACGGAGGAAACGGAGGCAACGGGAACTCGTTTGAGGACGACTCAAGCTCTGGCCGAGGGGTCCGTGTGCGCGCCCTCTACGACTATGAAGGACAGGAGCAGGACGAGCTCACCTTCAAAGCAGGTGATCATCCATCCGCTGACGTGAATTATTAATGCACTTAAAGGTGGCCGGTGGTCAAAGAGCTCGTGGCTAAAGATGGCTCCTCTCAGTGAGATGGCAGTGATCAGTAATGAAGGCCTTGTGGGTAACTAATTGCACACATCCAACTGTCGATTAACACTAAGTGGAAGTTGTTGATGGTGGATTTGGGCCGTCTCTGTAACAGCTGTTTTCTACAACTGAGCAACACGCAGCTGCTTTCAACATTACTTACTACTTATTTAGAAGATAAAAAGTATCTAGAAGTAAAAGATAAATGATTTAACCCATAGGCACATATTGCCAAGGTGATGTTTTAGGACGGGACTCAATGATCAATGCGAAGATACATGATATATACATTACATTATATAGAGAAATACAAAATTCTGCCACACATTCATTCAACAATCATCTGGAATAAAAAGTATGAATTGTATTGTATCTATTTTCTGTTTACATTTTTAAACTATACATAAAACTATGTGCTTGCAATTTTGTGTACGGTCACTGAATTAGCATTTAAAGTTATGACATTTTATAGACTTATAATGGAACTCCGTAAAGACTCTTAGGAACTTGACTTAGAGCCTTGTGATTGGCACTTTCAGTAGCAATGGCTTCAATCTGGGAAGATTCAAGATAAAGGATCATATTTATGTTTATTGAGTTTTATGATTAGGAAATTCACCCCAGCAGACTTATATTCTGGTACTAAATTATGAATTGTATTTATAACAAGCAATATTGGAAATGGTTTGGTGATTAGACCCCAGCAGAAATATTACATGACGTATACTGTATGCAGGAAGGAATTTCATAGAGATAATGAGTCTACAATCTCTCTGGGGTCTAGACCCTGGGGGTGGTGGAAGCATGACATGAACTGATTCCTCCACTGATGAGGCTGTAATGGGGAGGAGGTGGGTTGCTGCACAAACAGTAATTTAATGCACCCTTTAAATTGAATCTGAAGGTGTCTTCTGATGAGCTCAGGCATGGGTGTTTAGTAAGGGGAGGATTGCAGATTTTTCACTTTAGTTCCATAACTCCATGACTTGCTTTGTGTTTTAGTATCGATATTAAATGAGATGTTTGTATTTGCAGGTGACGAGCTGACCAAGACTGAGGATGAAGATGAGCAGGGCTGGTGTAGAGGACGCTTGGACACCGGTCGGGAGGGACTGTACCCGGCCAATTATGTGGAGCCGATCTAGTCATATGACCGGAGGAGGGCATGCCATTGGAGGCAGCTTGAACTGTCCTGTCCAATCGCACCGCACATAGCCAGAGACTTATGAGCAACACATCCCCTGCCCAACAGAAGCGCCAAGCATTCCCGCTAATGAAACTTAGTAACCCAAAAGACTATAGTATATGTATCCTATAATTTCTCCATCGTGTGGGTGGGTGGACCTTACGTGGACGGGAGCAGCCTGTGATCAGTATACACTCCTAAACACCAGGGCAGTGCAGGACACATCTGCTTCTCTGTGTAGCTGTATTTAATGTCTACAGCTTACTGTGACAATGGGAAGATATTATTATCCCAGTCAACATGAAAAAGCTTCTCTAACCTGCATTGTGCATACACAATGTGATGCCATTTTTGTGTAACAAATCTAATGCTGTGTGGTCAGTTGTCATTCTTACATCGGGAATGCTGTGTCGTGTTTCAGTACCACCAACAGTACCCTTTTCGTTTTGTTTTATGTGATTTGGTCCGACCTCTTTTCCAGTGTGTGCAGTGCTCTGTGTTAACTGTTTCTCAGATTGCATAGCAGCATGTGCTATGCAAAGACCCCTATGGGCTACAACCTGATGCAACACTCAAATGCAGCGTTCACTTTGGCCATCTCATCCACTGGACATGCTCACGTTTTGTCAATCAGTGTTAGGCTGATGACAAACTGACTTGTATCTTTTATTTTGAAGTTATAATTCTAGCATTACCGGTTATTAATCCATCCCTATGATACTGATGGGCACAATTCTTGGTTCAGTAACACTTGTTTTCTTCCGCTAAAGTAAAATGCATGCCCTCAGACTGACGTCGGATCATCTTCTTGAGGTTGCATTTGAGAGGAGGCTTTTGAGCAGTGCTTTTCTTCCAAAACATGGGCCGGACCGAAGCGTGACCATGCATTAGAGTCTGACCCAGCCTCTCAGGACATGAATGTACAAGTGTGTGGGCTTGGGGGAGCTCATGGTGGATCAACATGGCTCCCTATGTCATGCTTGCTTACTGCATATATAACGTTTTGTGGCCCGTTCACTTGCTGAGCCAAAGAATGACTTGTCCCCATCACTGTTCTGTTTAACCTCCATGCAATAACTCCATATCACATCACAGCTTCGGCATAAATCAACTTGTAGCCGCCCCTCTTAGACACCTTTTAAATGTTTTGAATCCCTAAAGCACTGTGGAATAACACAAGTATTCACGTATTAAAATATCGCACAGTGCAGTCATGAGAGTTACACTGTAGCAAAACACTAATCTCAGTTACATTTCATAGCAGTACAGGGAAACAAAATCTCGAATAACTTTACAAAGAAGAGATTGCCTTTTTGTCCTGAGGTTTTAAGGTTTTGTACAGCCTGGAGTTTTGAGCTGTGTTTAGGATTCGCACCAGCTCACGAGTTGTGTCTTAAGAGTGTCCAGCCGAGCAAAAAGAACTTGTTCCATCCAACCTCCGATATTATCTACATATTTCACACACAAGCATTCACTCCACACTAAAACACACAAACGCACAGCCAGGCGAATCTTTGGGGCGCATATCCTCCAGTGTGTATGAGTGGTGTAAATGTATCGGAAAAAATGTACAAAAACTGCAAGTGATTGACTATAAAGACAAATGTAGTGTTTTTCATGTAAATGTGTTCATTAAAATAACAGCAATGGAAACTCATATAAGAGGGGAAACTGACTTCATTAGAATGTCGTTCAACAGTTCATTTACTTCTGTGATTCAAGTTACAATGTGAAACAAAAACGTGACAAACTCATAACACGCAAAGTGAGAATTATCAGGTTTTATTTGATATAATAATTAGAATTATGGCTCACAACTTTTAAAAATAATCATATATTTTCACTAAACCTTACATAAACTGTTTATAAATTGTCAAAGTATTATACCTGTCAATACAATTACATGTATTTTTGTACAGACTGAAATCAGTTTTCTCAGAGGACTTTACAAAGTTGTCGCTATCACAGATCAGAGAATCAAACAGTTTGAACCCAGAAATGCAATAATAACAAACACACAGGGAGCGCCCATAAATGTTCAATACATTTCCATGAATATTCCTAAATGTCCCGGATCATCACTGTCCTTAGGCCCTCTTGTTTATTATTGATGATACATTAATACATTTTTAGGAATTATAACAGATGAAACCCCCACATAGGATTCCTTAGGACAAAAATAGCAATGTTTGAATGATGGAAACACGAAAGCTTGTTCATTCATAATGTCTTATTTATATTATTGTGTAGAGATGTTGGTAAACTTGGACACATTTCACATACAGACTTTTGTTCCCATTACAACAAAAGGCCAGAAGGATTGGATCAAGTCTCCACTCTAGAGATAATTAAAATCCATTTTTGTCATAATGACTTTATTTGCCATTTGCAGTAAAACCACATTGGAAAATCTGTGCAAGACTACCCCAGTGTGCATCAGACTTGAACTAAATATATATAAGAGGACATTTTATTGCACTAAACAGTTTCAAGAAACATAAAGAGCTGTGATGTCACCCCCATGTAATTTACGATTGGTCAGTCAGGGGAGACAGACAGGACACAATGTTGGGCGGGACCTCTTGGAGAAGGACCAATGAGAGCAGCACATCAAGAAAAATTCATTTCTACAACTGTTCATAGAGTCAAGAATATTTTGAAAATGCCTGTAAGCCATAATCATTAAAACAAAGGCTTGGACTATGTCACTTTGCAAGTAAAGGAGTCTATCTCATGTATTAGTTTCACATTGTCAGATGAATTGCAGAAATGAATGACCTTCTGGACAGTATTCCAATAGTCCGACTTCCATCTGCAAGTCATAGGAAGCATATCATATGAATTCCATTGCGATGAAGTTGTAAGTGTACCATAAAGGCGTGCCGTTACCCCACGCTGTCAGATTTGTACATGATGATGTAATTTAAGAGTATATTCTATTGTAACTGTACAACTGTGTTGAGTTGAGACCTAACCATGTTGAGGCAGTAAAAGGTGTATCTGTAAATGCTTTTTTATGTTTATGATCTCTTCCTTATGCACACGGGCTCACACAGCTCTATATTAGCGTTCTAGAATATGTATGTTCATAGTTAGTGATGTATTTTATCTCCTAACTGGTGTAGTGCCTGTTCATCTCGATGTAACAAGACGTCCATTTAAATATGCATAAAGATAATTATCATCGCACTTATATGACAACAGTGACTGAAAACCTGAAGCAAACTTGTTGTGGTTGGTGTCAATACTGAAATAATGATTTGAACGGGAAAAAAGCTGTTGAAAAAGGTAGTGCGTGTGCGTGTGTTTTGTTGACACTAAAGACTGAATAATATGAGTTTGCATGTTCTATCCGTGTCTGCGCAGGTTTCCTCCAGGTGCCCCGGTTTCTCATAACCACTTAAAACGTGTACAATAGGTGTGTCTGTAATGAGTGAGTGAGTGAATGAGTGGCGGTGGTTGGAGGGTCCAAGGCCAGCCCTGTTTCTGTCAGTGTGGTCCAGGGCAGCTGTGGCTACAATAGAGGCTCACCATCATTGTGCGCTGAGTGAATAATAAACTACACCTTAAGTGGGATGCTCTTAGTGACGTTGGTCTGTGAAAGGCGCTGTATCAAAAAAGATCACTTATGGATCTATCAACTAAGTATTTAAGATTTATCCCCAATATCAAATACCTCAAAAGTGCACATTACCCCTCCCAAAACAAAGTACTGTAATTGCTGGATTTTAAGCCGCTTCTTTTTAAAAGTTCTTTAGACCCGACATCTTATATACTCTATCAGCTGTGGTTTATGTGAATAGCAGACAACCGAAAAGGGGAGATGCAAGGGTTTGTATGTGAGTAGGGCTGTTGTCTGAGTCCCAACATGGAAGCTAAAAGTTAATAATAATAATAATATTAAATTGTACTTATAGTGCTTTGTTTGCCTCCTCAGATATCATTACCTTTAGCTTTGATGATCACAATGTGTATCAGCTTTGCTTTTTCTGTAAAATTACAACATGAGGCTTATATTCAAGTGTGGCCAATATATAGACAAAAATCCCTTTCTTTTCAAATTTGGAGGTGGTGCGGTTTATATACAGGTGTGCTCAATAGTCCAGCAACTACTGTACTGTTTATTGTATAGAGTTGTGCTGGAAATGTTTCACTCATCGTTAGTGGCAGGGCAAGTTTATTTGTATAGCACAGTTCATACACAAGACAACTCAAAATGCTTTACAAAACAAGAAAAGGAACATTAAAATCATAGTGAGATAAACCATAAATAATCACAGTACATTAATAAGAGTAAAGATACAGCCCTTCATTTGTTTGACCTGGATTTGAACAATGTCAGAGTAGAAGCCTGTCTCACATTTTCTGGAAGAAACATAAATCTGAATCCGAGCTGTTTACTCCTGACTTGTGGTTGTGTGAAGCCTTTGATTGTCAAATGAACATGTTTTCTATTTTTAAATGTGTAATTAATGCAAGGCAACCCGTGAATTTACAGGCACTTAAGGCGACAAGAGTGAGCAGCTTTACCATCAGAGAGGATAAAATCAGAGTTTATTGATTTTATAAGATCACAACCTCACAACCTCTGGTGGCTGGAGGGCCTGCATAAACACAGATATCTGGAACACTCACATAATGAGGCTTAAACGATGACATGAATCAGAGAAATGTAATAAAACAAATACTCAACTTTGTGGTTTGCAGAGGAAGGTCTTTTATATGCATATATGATGGACAGGAGTTCAAATTGAAGCGGCAGATGCGGTCCGTTTAATCAAAGACTTTCTATTATTTACAAATACGGCTTATATACCATTGGGCAACCAGGAGGAGTTAAGAAATGTTCTCCGTAATTTCCTTTTTTGGATACACAGTTCAACTTGCATTGATATGTCACAACCAAATGTCATCTGTTTTCTGATGTATGTCGTCTGTCTTTCACGGTCTGTCTCCATCCTTCTGTGTCAGCATTGCAATCCCATATTTTGTGAATACTTCTGGGTCTGTATTTGGTTCCCTGACCCAGCCGTGAACCAATTTGGTCAGGAAAAAACATACTTACAGAGGATTAAGAACCTCATCCACAACTACTGTACCACCAAAAGATAGCTGTCATAGATGTTAAATGGGAAATACATACTACTGAGAACTGGGGGATGGAGACTTCTGATCAGGGTCAGAGGAGTTTCAGTTATACATTAATTTAGAAATAAAACATGTTTATTTGATCAACATATGTGCCTGGGCGTGTACATTCTCAAGCACAACCATAGTGTGTCCATATCCAGATAGACATGAGTGCATTTGAAACAGGCAGTCTTTCAAACCTATGGTCCTTCTTGTGTTCATATCATATTGTTGCTTCATTCATACTGGGCTGCTTCATTCATACTGGGTTGCTATATTTATACTGGACTACTTCATGCCTACAGGGTTGTTTCATGCCTACAGGGTTGCTTCATTCACACTGGGTTGCTTCATTCACACTGGGTTGCTTCATTCACACTGGGTTGACAAACTGGTAGACAAGTCTGCGGGACACCTCGGGCTTCCGGATGATGCCCTTCTTGTAGTACTGGCGGATGGAGCGACTCAGTTTGTCGTAATTCATGGCGGGACGGTTCTTCCTCATGCCCCAGAGCCGCGCCACGTGAGCCGAGTCTTCGATTTTAAAAATACCTTCGAGAAAACATGTAAAGTATTCAGACTATACAACTCAATTCAATGTATTACATTTTTGCATAGCCCTAAATCACAGCATTCGCCAACACAGACCAGGGTAAACTAAACAGTTAAAAAACAGAAAATGTAATAACAATCAATCACACAGGAGCCATTGACCCATAAGGGGCAAATGATCAATGCCCATACATGCATATAAATGTCCAATGGACACTCCTGATGCACAGTTTGCATCAGGAGTGTCAAATCTTTTGAGTAAGAGGGCCACTTTAGGTCACCAGACTTGTCCAGGGGCGACAACATGGATGGATGGAGCTGATGGATTTATACTTTATGTAAGATACTGAATTCTGCTGAGGACTGCTGAGCTAGCCTGGCCTTAGCCATCCGTAAACTCCGGTCAATTATACTTTTCGTACTAAATGAAATTAGTACAATGGTATGGTAAGGCTACTGCTGAACCTAAATAAATGAAAAACCCATCTAACCGCAGTCACTATTTTTGTTTTGTATCTTTTACATCTTTAGATCAACTATTTCAGACAGATTTGTGAAAATAGATGACCACTCTCACTCGGCCAATCAGCTCTCAGCCCAAAGGGTCTTCTTACTTATAACGTTTTACAGTAAGTTGAAGACAGTATGTTTTAGTTTAATTGGCTCACAACGACTCTTTCTGTTGGGACAAACAACATGCATTTTTAGTGGGGTTAAAGTAAGTTACCCAAGCTTTAAGTGAGATTTGTTCCATTGATAAAACTCATACTAGTCAAAGGAAGATAGACTATTTAATTCAAACATCTAGTAACATATATTTATCATCATAATTTTGGCCTAACTCTCTTTTCATGCACTTGTCAAAGATATATAACATCATTAGGATGATTCTAGATCATCAGGGCATAATTCAGTAATCAGGGACGCCTCTGAGTCTAGTTAAGAATGAATTAATTTCAGGCCATTTGAATTCACAATGCCAGATTATTTTTTACTTTAAAAAATATATTATTATCAATTCCATCACTCTCTCCTTATGCAGAGGTCACGCAGAGAGACATCTAGTGGTGAGAAAAAATCATTTTGAATAGTTCAAAAGAATGAAATATTGGACTTTGATGAGCCTTTTTAACACAACATCAATCCCGAGCAGTGACACATGCTGCTGATCTGTTTGGAACTGGGGCCAGCCTGCTTCCTGGGAGTTCCTTTTTTCAAATAACTTACAAAGAACTTACAAATCAAATAAAGAGAATTTAATTTTAAAAAATATATTAATCCTGATACTGTATATAAGCTGTACATGAGCTGGAGCTGCCAAACAGCTGAGGGCAAAACCATTTACATAGAAGATTAAAACCTGTGTGTCTGCCTCTGTGTGGCCATGTTGCCTAAAGGTGTTGCCTAAAGGTAAACACACGTATATAACTTTTAGCTTCAAAGCCAAATTTGTATCCTACTGTGTCTGTATTGTTAAATAATACAGGGTTTCATGATCACAGTGAAATTATGAGCTAAACTGTAGAAAAGGATTTGTAAGTATTTTTATATTTTGACTTTTAAAACAAGATTTGCCAATGAAGTGCTTGCCAAAAGCTGCGTGTACCCTTAGCATGTCTTGTTTTAACTCTCAAGCTGTACAAATATTAAGATCAAGTTAATCAAAGTTATGCAAATATATTCTTATATTTGTACTGTTTCCAGAAAACACAATGAATCAATCCTATGTCTGCACCCTCTGGAGCAGGGAAGGCTGGCATCAATGGGAATTATTGAGGAGCATAAAAACAAACTTGGGGTATTTGTAAGTTTTAATAATATGATTATGGGCAATAGTGTGCAGTATATTGTATTATTATTCATCTGATGGACAGTTTTTCTCAAAAGAAAAGGACTCCTTCCGGAGACCGGAGACCCCGGGGAAGAACGCCTCGGGGTCCCCCCGGACGAGCTGGAGGAAGTGTGTGTGGATAGGGAAGTCTGGGTGTCTGTGCTTAGATTGCTGCCCCCACGACCCGGCAACGGAAGAAGAGGAAGTAAATGGACAGTTTTTCTAGAAACTGTGTGACTGAGCTCCTCTCCCTATCTCTAAGGGAGCTCATGACCAGAGGTGAGGGTCGGAACTTAGATTGTCATTCCGTCATACATATACTAGCTATACATAAAATACTCTTGAGAGCTCTCTTACCCTTTTCCTTGTTGAGCCAGCGGATGCAGCGGCTGTAGTTGTGAGGCCGGAGGAGCAGGTCTCTGAGAAACTGCCACAAGTGGATGGGCTGGTTTGGGAAACTGCCTGCGATGTCTGCACTAGAACTTTCCACAGCTTCAAACAAAAACACTCAATATTAACCTTTTTTCCAAGTTTAATAACATTAATTCTAAAGAACAGAATGACAGCAGTGTATTCATCAGACAAGCTGGTCAGTTAGATAGATGTGCCTGCTATATTTAATACTGGGGTAGGCAAGAAAAAAGTGTATTTGTACAGCACAGTTCATACATAGGGCAACTCAAAGTGATTAATAAAACAAGAAAAGAAACATAAATAATCACAGTACTTTAAGATATAATCCCTAAGCTTAACAGAACCGTTTTATCCTGGGTTTGAACATTGTCAGAGGAAGAAGCCTGTGTCATATTTTCAGGAAGACTGTTTAATTAATCTGAAATGATGCCTCTCCATGTTTAGACCTGACTCTGGGCACCAGCAGGAGGCCAGTCCCTGTGCTCCTCAGAGTTGGTTCATATATGGCACTAACACGTCACAGAAGTACTCAGAGCTGTTTTATTCTCTGAGCCACAGGACGCCAGTACGGAGACCTGAGAACTGGACTAATTTAATCATACTTTGGTTCTAGTCAGGACTAACTGTAAGCATACCCGTAGTTGAATGAAAAATAGATTAGATTAGCACCATGCTAACATGATTTACTATGATCATACTGACGATGTAATTACCTGGTTTGTCGTCCACTGGTGCACATGGTGCCTTCATGGCCACAGCTGCAAAGCAATTTATTCAAATACAATCAAATACATATATATGGAAATTATTACAAAACATTAATTATAGAATCAACTAGTTATCACATGTGTTGTCATTGTATAAAAATTGGTGCATTAAATGAATTTCTAATCTAAGAGGGAAATTAATCACAATCTACAGCATTTGCCTTTTTTCTATTAGCTTATTTTTAAACAGCTAAAATAGAATAAACGGTGAAGGTTTTATTACATACTGTACATCCTGGTGAATAATATGTAAACAATATATTATTTTAGAAGTCAGCGTTTTGGCTTTTTTTGCAGTGCACACATGTTACAATCTACACAAAAACCTTTACATGTGAATCGACCCCTGACTTGATGACATAAAAGAAAGCTCCCAAAAGGCTGTGCTGTCATCCCTCCACATTTACCTGATCTCCAGATGTCCAGATGGGCGTAGAGCATGTCTCCAAACTGAGCCGAGTGCTGTCTGAACTGGGCCTCGCTCATGGAGCACAGGTCTCTGCCGCTGAGGCCCTGGAACAGAGCACTGACCCGGGGCAGATGGTACATGTGCTCGATCCACAGCAGCCACTTCTGCACCTGCAGCCAGCCCCAGGACAGAGGCTCTGAGGAAACACATGCAGCTTACAGCCAGGTTTGTGAGGGTAAAAACACAAGACAATGGGTAGTAAGTTTATGATTATGTTGAGCTTCTGTTGTTTATAAAAGCTAGTGATTATATAATTGCTTCCTTGTTATGCTTAAGGTAGAGTTTGTGTTATTGTTCATTGATCTTGTGTTGTGTGCTTCTCATCCCTTCTGTTCTGTAACCAGTGATGCAACACTTGTTACAGCCTTATAGTGTTTGTAAAGATTTATTTATATGTGCATGCGTCTGTGTGTGTGTGTGTGTGTGTGTGTGTGTGTGTGTGTGTGTGTGTGTGTGTGTGTGCGTGTGTGGGTGTGTGTATTTTGAATATAAAATACACACATAGATGTAGATTATCTATATTTATTTTGGTTTTAAGACATACATAAAAAGAGACTTTTGTATTGATTAAATAAGTAAGTGTTTTTTTTTAAATAGCACATTTTTATAGACCAAGGTCACCAAAAGTTTTTTAATGTTGTTCAGAGTTTGTTCCATTCTCTCGGAATGTTCGGTAATGACGGAAGTGAGAACTCTCTCATTACATTAAAAACAATTGTGCATGTTTTTAGAGGTAGGGGAAACCGGCCTTCATTGTAATAATTGTGTAATATTCTACCTTTAGTATGATGTAATTGGTGGTTATTTTTATATGGTATCATGTTTTAGGAGATAAATCTGGAAACCCTATATGTGACTGCTTGACTCATAATACCGTGAAACAACAATGAGCTGTTTTGTCTGTATATTAACAATAGCTTCTTCATGAGCTCTGTGTCAACACTAGTGTGAGTTTGCAGAAGACACACTAGAGAAGGTCATCTTTGTCTGCTGCTGTATTTGCACATTTACCTTGGGAGATGTTGAGCATTTTGCATGCTGTGTCCACATCTCTCAGAACCTCCCCCACCACCAGGCTTTGAATCTGCTCCAGACACCTCTCCTCCACTTGGCCCTCCAGGAGGCTGCAGGACGATGGAGAGCCCGGTTGCGACTTGTGAACTTGCATGTAGTGGAGATTGTGCCCCTGGGGTGAGCCGGCCCCTGCTGCGGTCCCCTGCCTGTGATCAGCCACCACATAGAGCGCTCTGGAGTCCATGTTGGGGAAGGTTGGGTGGCTGTCGGGACTTCCCATACTGAAGAAAGCAAATATAAATGATCAAACTAACTCCAAAGAATCAAACACAAGACAGAGAATGAGTCTTTGTTTCTGTGTGTGGGGATGGGTTTATGCAGACCGTACCACCGCTGGTACTGTATCTCCAGGGCAGGTCCTATCCTGGTATAAGCAGAGTAAGCTACTGCACAGAGCCCCATGGTCATTATAAGCCCCCAAGGAATGCCCCACAAATCATGAACGTTAGACAATTGGACAGCATTAAAACTTATCAAACTATAACTTTTGAGAAAATAATTGATATGTCACAATAACACCCTTTTTTTTTATCCCAGAGCAAGTTTCAAAAGTTTTGGATTCCAGACAACCTTTGCGTTGTGGTTAAAAATTGGAGAGCTTAGTCCCCCCCCCAAAGGAGTGAGCCCTGAACTCTCTTAGTCCTCAATAGTTTTAATTTTTGTTTTTTAATTTTTCCTTGAAAACAGGAAATCCATAATAAATAGATACAACTTTAGATTAGCTATTATCAGACTGCCAATTTAAAATGAAGACCACCTTCCCTCAGCCAATCAGCTCGCAGCCTCACAGGGCCCTTTCTTACATGCGTTCTCAAACATGCAAAAGATAACATGTTAAATACAGCATGTTGTGGTTTGATGTGATCATAATTCTTGCATCTGCTGAGACAAAAAAAAAGGATCTCTGGGAAAAGTTAGTTACCCCAGCTTTATTGTCTCCATCTCTGTCAAACACAACTTTCATCATTTGGGGAATAATTTGAAACAGACTGCAGAGATGGATTTTAGAATCCCACAAAGTCATGTGGCATTTTCCAGCTCAAAATACATATAAAATATGTACTACGTTTATCTCACACTGAAACCCATACTGTATATGTCCAACAATAATACAACAATAGATATGCAAATGTTCTTCCTAAAGCGGAGATACTTGACAGTGAGACATAGATGCTGCTCATTTGTCATGAGCTGAGCAGAAGCGATCCTAAAGCAAACATGACTGTTGACTTTGGCTGCGGTGAGCTTTCATACACGATCAGTCTCTCATCGGCTTCTAGTGAGAGTCATCAGAGCAGAGGTGCATCAGTGAGAGCCTTTGTCCCCACACACTCCACACACTGGAGTGGTTAGCACTCACAATTGGCAAGAAGGTCCTGGGTTTTAGTGGAGTTTGCAAGTTCTTTCCGCGTCTTTAAAAATATGTCCCCCTCTCACTAAATTACACTGCCCTCCTAGAATATGTGTGGTGATACCTGCAGGAGGGTCTAAGGACAGAGACGATCCGGGACATTTATCAACATTTATGGACATGGTCATCCCGTTCCCTATGGACCAATGGCTCCTATGTGTTCGCTATTACTGCATTTCATGTTTTCGTTCGGTTTGATTTGACGACTTTATGAAGTCCCCGAAACAACTACTGTTGTGATTTAGGGCTATACTAAATAAAATGAGTGTTTTCCAGTTTGGCATTAAACGTTTTAATCTACATCAAATGCCTTGTTTTACCTGTTAACAGGTCATATCTGTGGTGAGGCAAGCCGAGCCATTGAGTTTAGTTTTTTTTTGCAGTAATACATTGGAAAGTGTAAAATATACTGTATTAAATCATACTGAGGTACACCCAAAAAAAGTCATCTCCATGGCAGAAGCAGAAGACACCTAAATAACTTAAATGTATTGTAAATAATTTGCACACTTCTGTCTTTTGCACAATCTGAGTGATTCTATCGGTGACAAATGTGGCATGTACATTTCTCCAGAGTGAGATCAACAAAGCCAATCTTATCTTATCTTAAACAAAAAAGATAAATGAATAGATAGATAGATGATAGATTATTGATCCCCGTAGGAGAAATTCAAGTGTCCAACTGCAGAAAACACATAATAATAATGCATCGGTTTTATATAGCGCTTTTTTGGACACTCAAAGACGCTTCACAGGTCATTATTCTTTCACTCCATACACGGTGGTGATAAACTACTACTGTAGCCACAGCTGCCCTGGGGCACACTGACAGAAGTGAGGCAACCAGTATGTGCCATCGGCCCCTCAGACCACCACCAACCATTCACTCACTCACCAGACTCATTCTAGGCAATGGGGGTAAAGTGTCTTGCCTAAGGACACAACGGCAGTTTGGCACTTTACAGCCGCAGCCGCCCCACTGTGGCTGGTGTTCCCAGAGGTTAAGTGTCTTGCCAAGGACACAACGACAGCAGACAGTGGGAGTCGATGGAGAAAGTCGGGCTCGAACCTACGACCCTCGGGCTCAAAGGCCAATGCTCTACCAACTGAGCTACTGTCGCCTACATCCATATAAACATAAGTAAAGTAAATCAATTATAAACATTTCTAACTACCAAACAATGGTTCATATTTTGAACTCATCCAGGTTTGTTGTACAGTCTGACAGCCGAAGGAACAAAGGATCTCCTAAAACGTTCTGTTCGGCAGCACAGTGATAGGAGCCTGTTGCTTCGATTACTCCTCTGAGCGGCCATGCAGAGGGTGTCTGGAGTTACCCAGGATGCCCTGCATTAGAGCCCTCATCCTTCTCATGCAGTAAATTAATGTATAATCTCTAAAATGTTTAAGTTAAAATCAGAGATGAAAGAAGCCTGATCTTTCCATATCTCAGAAGTTTAACAGAGTAGTTAATACTCTGAAGGAAGAGCTCTGGGAAGACCAGGTGCCATTGGGGTAGATGCACCATAGGGTCAAACTATTGTTGTGTCGCTGGGCAAGACACTTCACTTACATTGCCAAGTATGTCTAGTGTATGTGTGACTAGCAGTCAGTCTACCCCAGGGCAGCTGTGGCTACAGCAGTGTCTTAACAACACACAAAGTGAATGAAGAATGCTTTTAAACCGTTATATAAATCTCATGCATACATTATAAAAGCAAAACATTGTAGTGGCTGCGGTTTGATGGCTCTTTTGTTTGGGGTTTTGGATGATAACGGGTAACTTCAAAATGCTCTATTGTTCAGTATTGAATTGTTGAAATATGAGCTTGTGGATAAAGTACCAGTGATCAACCACTGAGGAGGAGAGATTTCGAAATTCTGATCTTCTACTCAAATGAATCATGGCCCAGCTCAGTCTTACCTGCTTCTCTTGGACCTGCTTCTCTTGGACCTGCTTCTCTTGGACCTGCTCCTTTTGGACCTGCAGGTGGATGTGCAGCCGATCCTCAGTCAGACTCTTGATGAGCAGGAGTTTCCTCTGAGCTCTCAAATTAGTTTGAAACAAAATAACTGAAGTGAAAGTATGAGTGAAGAGAGAAAGGTGTGTCCAATATAGGCTGCTCTGCGGCTTCATACTGACTGCAGGCACTGCTAATAGATGTAAAGTAAACAGACGCACGCTCAGATGCAGGGTTTGGAACTTTGAGGTCCAATTATGTATTCAAAAAAACTGAAGACGTTAGCTTCAGTTTCTGATTGTTAAATTCATCAAAAACACTTTCAAATGAAAAATGATCCATTAAAACGTACGACTAATACAAAACACGTTGGGATAAAGGAGGGTCTAATGGGCAAGGCATGACCCAGGACATTTATGAACATTGCTGCCCCGGTTATCCTGTGGACCTCTTGTCTTATGTGCTCCAATTGTTTGATTTTTTTGTATTTGCTGTTTGTAAATCAAAATATCTGTAACTCCCTTTGAAACCATGGTTGTTATCATTTTGGCTCTACATAAATACACAAGTAAGTACTCTTACAACTAAAGATTACATCAATACAATTATTTTTTGTGTGGTATTAGCAGCACATGGGATTGATCTGAAAGATGTATTTTGTAGGTGTTCTGTCTAATCCTATGGTTAGTGTTTCTTTAAGACCTTCTCTAAAGCCTGGGTCTATGGTTTTAAAGGAGGTCTTAAAGATACACTAGATACTTGTATTTGGAACCATACAATATTGTAGAATTCACACACTTTATAGGTGAAACTCAGAAAATTAACTACCAACACAGGCACAGGGAGAACATGCAAACTCCACACTGAAAGGCCTGAAGGTGTTGCCTGTAATTATAACTGCCATTATTATCAAAATTATAACAAAAGCTTGGCATATGTCACTTTTTCAAAATTGAATATATAAATTGAGTGTCACCTGTAAAATATGAGGGATTACGCCGCATCCCGAATGCATTCCTTCCATTGTGACAGAACAAAAGCACAGATATTAAGTTTTGAGGGATAATTTAATCATACAAACATACAGGAAAAGCTTTCATATGTCTTCACCCATCCGCTCTCACACGAAAAGAAACAACCGATTTATTCTGCAGTTTGTCATTGACCTGTTTTGGATGTAGTCTGAATTATCTTATACCAGGGCGTTTGTTTTATTTGGTTTTTAGGTTTTCAGCGTAAACAGCTTTTCTGTTTCGAGCGTATGGAGGACTGTAACTTAAAAATAGTGCAGATATTTATTTTATAGTTTATTTGGACTTTGTTTGAAATATACACAAGACAATTATAAAAGGCCATTCTGATAAACAATGTTATCGCCTACATTCCACATACATTCAAATTAAAATGAAATCTTATAATTCCAAAGGCCAGTGTAGGATAAAGACAGTTAAAGAATGAATGCTTGGCCAAAATGTTGATTTGAAAAAAATGGTAGACTATGTGTTTATAGATAGTATTTCTGATGTATTTAATACTGCCTTATGCTCGGAGAGATAGTGATGAACGAATGTGATTTGCTGTTGCTAAATAGGCATATGAAAACGTACGTTATTATTTTATTACTATACCATGAACTGAAACAAAAAATATTATTGAATGTGTTATATAATGGGAGAAAAATGCTGATATGCAAATCCTATTTTTGATCTTTTACCGACTTAAGACGTACCAATAAATGAAAACTACTTATGCAAAAGCAGTGATAAAACCATAGAAGAATCAAAAATGAATAAAATATTGGATTATCACCACCATTATCTTTATATGAGTATCATGATCCAATAAAATTCAAAGGAAAAGGTAAAAATAAATATGTCAAATATGAAAGCTGAGATTTAAGAATCAATTGGCAAAAATAAATGGCTTTCCTCCTAAGGTTTTAAAGATGCACACATACTGTTTACATATTTTACAATTACACGTTTCCACCGTCATTCGACTCACAACTAAAAAAAATCCAGAGAAAAGTAATCACTCAAAAGCACTCGTTTATGAGTGTAGCATTCGCTCGTGCAAACTGTGGGTGTGGGCCTGGGGGAGCTGCACGCTGTCGGGTCAGTCCTGGTGAACACTGACGTTTGCATAAATTTAGTTCTGAATGACTCCACCAGCCCCGTGTTTCACGTCACTTCATCCATGGTTTAAGATTGGCCGGAGGAGAAGGGCTCCTGTAAACCCTGTGGACAAGAGAGGAGTCATGTTAGTTAGACTCAGAGATACCTCATGTGTCTCTGCAACATAAACACAACGGACATAAAAACACTGTTGTCACTATAGGGGTAGAGGATGTTTGTCAAACCCAATGTTCTACCTCATTTAATGTTTAGAATCTGCAGAAATCACTTCGGTTAACTGGAAGGAACCATTGAGATCATAACATTCACAATACCATCTATGAATTTAAATGTTGAATGAATTGTACAAATGATCGGCTACTCCAGAAATTACTTTCTTGCTATATTATACTATACATGCCCCCCCATCAATAAGAGAAAGAGACAAACACTCTCAGGGGCTCATGACGTAATTTTGCTACATTGGTACCGAAAGGGCTAATATCTGATTGTCCATACAGTCTACACAGGATAATGTGTGTTTTGTTTTATCAGATATCAAGTCAAGTCCAAGTATAACAATATAATAGATCAGACATGAGTGACTTTTCAAAACTACTCAATGTGTAACTCAAATACTACATAAAAATTTATATTTTGATGTATGTAGAAAGTATATGTTGAGAGGCCTCAGTTAATACATTATTTTGAACCACTAAAAAAACCTCATTCACATTGTGAAAACAAACATCAAACTGTCAAACGATCTCCTGACCCTGACAAGTTTGTCTAATAACAGTGACTCCTCTTCCAATCTCAATTCTCTTTTGTACCCCTCCATCTTCCCATTATCCTGTGGATCTTTTGAGAGACTTGAGTGCAATTATGATAAAACTGAGCTGGTCATTACAACAGATGTACATATCCACTTAATGTTTTGGTCTGAAGGTCGAAGAAAACATATCTAGTAGTATTCTGAAGGGAGCTGCTGTGTTTTTGCCATGGTATAAAATGATCACGCCATGAAAACCGGTGTAACAATCAAACTTGTCTTCTGCTGTGACACAATCCCAAATCTCTACATCTTTGCACGCATTATTGTTCATTAGGCTTTGCTTGACAAAACATGTAACACGATCAGTGGCAAACGTTCACGTCTTTAAACACTGCTTTAATATGTAGTCCAACATTTCTAACTGAGCACAGGTTTTTACTACTTTTTTAAAAGGTCCTTCTGTTCAAAATCTGCTTCTAATTCACATTAAAGTGTGAAACTCCCCCTACTCCTTTGCCATATGTTTGCATGCTGAATCCATCTGTTTGGGGGGTGTAGCCCTGCCCCTCAACCTCACCTCAGGAGTGAATTGTGCCCCTTTGTCCCTCACGTGCATGACAAAGAGGAATGGGTGAGGGGGATACTTGAGAGTGACTCATTTGTTTTAGGCCCGAACAAGCGGAACTTGCTCGGCCAGTCGCTCTGCAGTCCTTTCTTACCTGGTTTGAAGAGACTAACGATAGATTGCTTTGCAGATTATTTGCTACTAAATCCACCGAGGGGTGTGAAAGTCCATTCTGATCTTGCAGTGGTTGTGAGAGCTCTCTGTTGTCGAGGAGACTGCTGTTGTTGCCATTCACACATTTTCCCTTCTGTGGCGAAGCAAAAGGGTTGTAATCTTCCAGGTTTCGATGTGGCTGAGTGTTGAACTCTGCCTGGAAAGACGAGAGCTGCTGCGTGACCCCGAGAAGACCGCCGACTTCTACACCCAATATCACCCAAATGACGTCTGTAAAGAAAAAATCTCATCAGGAAAGGAATGGTCAACAATTTAAAGGGCAGGCTGAACTTCAGAACTATTCACTATAAGCATAATGACAACATTATCTTACAAAATCAGATTTAATGATCTTTAGTTCTAATGTGGCTCCCTCTTCCAGTTGGTTTTTCAGACACGACAGGCGGTGTGTGTGAAAGTTCAGCAGTATCGTCTACATTATTGACGGACATATAATTTTACTCGCCACAAGATGCCCTTACAGCTAATATGGACTATGGATTACTGGCTGTGTAGGCCTCAAGGGAATATTAAGGATAGTCTAATGGACCTGTCAATACGCCTCAAAATAGTAGTTACCAATACAAATGGGGCAATCAGTATAAAAGAGCAAAACATGATTGATGTCAAACATAAAAACCTTTTCTATGTTCTGGCAAAAAGTTCTATAACTAGAAAATACCCAGTTATTGTATTTTAGATTAAATCTACAAGCGTTTGATGATAAATATTACACATTTCTGCGGTTACATCTTATAAATCATGTATGTGTGTGCCTTTGTGTTTGGTCTAAATATATAATAAACTGTTCATGAAAAATGGGATTTGGCATTGGGGGGGCCAAGGGGCTCTTTCAAATGGTAAGTGAAGCCGTAATACCCAAGATTTGAGAAGATTCATTCATACAATAAACACAAAACTCTCTCTCATTATATATATATATATATATATATATATATACATATACATACACACATGTCCCTGGATGGATGGATGAATAGTGTTCCAAAATGACAGAAATGTCATTGTTTCTGCACAAGAAACTTGCTTGTCTCACCTCCAAAGTAAAGTCCTGTGGCAGTGCACATTCTCCACTGGCCTTGGTACATGCCTGGAGACGAAGGGCTCTGCATCTGGACACTGATGTCCACTATTTCTTGAGGATTTAGAGAGCGCACCATCATCATATTTACATGACCAAACTGGTCTCCTCCCACATACTTTAGGCACACTCCAGGAGGCCATGACTCAGGGCCTGAGGACACAAGGACAATGCAGTAGAATGATACAAATCACATCAAATTAACTCATTGTGTTGCAATGCGAGAGCACACCCACCTGTGTTCTGTATCCTCCAGGTTTTAATGAAGGGTGTGTCCGGAGGAATGGATTCACCCTCACCAATGGTCACATCTTTTACCAACGACATACATGGTGCACTGATGTTAGGACTTTCAAAGTCATAGTATGCTCCGATAGCAGCCTGTAGGTTCCTGGTTACAAGAAAAGAAAAGTATTTAATGAGAAGATTAAATCAGGTGAAGCAGATTCACGTGACATGGTGGCCATTTACAGTAGAAAGCAAAGCTGAGGTTTATTTTTAGCTAAGGGCTGCAGAATATGTCACGTGACTTTACTACGGACAGCACTGCCTCCACACAATTCAGTCTAATTCAATATCTAAGCATTACACATAAGAATAATGTGATTTCTTCTACTAAATACGAACGAATTCATTGATATGATAAATACAAATCTAAAACATAAATTTTCAATGTCCACATGTAAATTGTCAGGTTTGGCAATTTACAATGAGGAAAATTGAAAAACCAAAGAAACAACTAACAAACTAACTCGGAATCAGTGATTAACAGATCAAGTATTTTCTAGCTCTTGAATCATCCGCCATGCTCCTGTTATGTAATAACAGTGTACGTAGACTATGTATCCCACAGACTGCATTTGAAAGCCACGGAATTAGTAATATACACCCTACGTAAACAATGCGAGATATTAGAACCTTAATGGATAATTTTATTGACAATTAACGTCAAATCAAGGCGTTTGCTGTTGGCTGAGTGACCTGAGGATACCATGAAAGTCGCGGCCCTGTTGTTATTTGAATAGAATAAAACATAGTTGTTAAAACTTAAATGCCTTCACTGTAAAATGAGATGAGAGATGGACATTAATCTCAGTGATTCGGGTGACTATAATGATGTAACAGCTAAAGGGAGACTGCAGCACTCGTCTGCCTGAGCTAACGCTAGCTCTGAGTCTGGTTACTACCGCGTCGTTAGCTTTCAATGGACCCGGACACTATTGCAAAGAACACACTCTAGACATGAGCCAAGGAGAAATAATAAACTTCCCTCTTTGTCTAACAGTGCGTTTGAGCAGAAGCAACACCACTAAAAACACTCGACTCTTGGGGAAACTTCCATGAGCAGCTCCGTAGGCCACACAGACCAGGGACTCACCAGTTGGTCATGTCCAGGAAGAAGGCGCATCCCGCGGGGTTGAGCTGGAAGCCCAGCAGCCTCTGAAACTCGGAGATCAGTATGTCTTTGTCTGTCGTGCCCATGCAGCTAAACTTCTGCATCAGCTCTTGGTCTAGGTCCAAGTCCATGCCCTCCATAGCGGATTTCGCCCGACAAAGCTCGGGGCTTCGCAACTAATTTAGTCCGAGGCCTCAGCCTGTCATAACAACTCAGCTCCTGGGGCCAGTGCGCATGTGCGAGGCCCTTGCGTCACATGAGCAAATGTACTACGCAATCCATAGCTGCGTACCCTGTGCGTAATCTGAGCCTAAAATAAACAAGGGCTTTCCAACAAATTTAACGCAATATCATCACATTTGTATTATTAATGTGTACAGCATACGCAATAATAATAATTCCATATATAATTTCTGTAGTCAGAAATTATATATGGAATCTGATATAAATCTGACAGAATTTTTTTCATGGTTATCTAAATTATTTGTGTGTTTGAAATAATTACACACCACGTTTTACGTTTACTGTTGATGGTAAAATGAGCAAACCGAAAACCTCGTGAGTAGAGGGGTCCATGTAATGTCGCAAGGTGTCCGGCAGATGGCGTTGTTGTATCGCTTGGGTCATTGTTGGCGTATGAGCAGGGGGCTCGTCTATGGGCTGGTGGTAGGTGTTGTCAGCGGCAGCGGCAGCAGCAGCAGCAGAGGCTGTGTGCAGTGAAAGCAGCGGCTAACAAGATGCGCTCGGCTACAGCTGTGCACTGTACTCATGTCCCGACGAGCTAGCGATTCTCATTGAACAAAATAAAGCCACTAATCCCGGTTACTACACCACTGCGGGAGGATGGCCGGGATCATCAAAAAGCAGATTCTGAAACATTTGTCACGGTAGGTGTCTTCGTTGGGGTTAGCCTGTTAGCCTGTTTGACTAATGATCCAAATATCCTTGAGATCGTACGTGAAATCTGACTATTCTGTACTTTCTATGGTTCTTTGGTGTTATTACTGTGTATCTAACCTACTTTAAGGCTGTGGACGGATATGCCATGTGCACTATTACACTAGTGCAAACCCTGTGTACCTTTGTTTTTGTGCCAATGTATGGGACTAGTCTGTGACAGTAACTTAAATCAGGACAATAGATTTTTTTATCTCACCAAACACACCAACTTGAAAGAGAACATTCATGTATCCTTAGTACAAGTCTTACACATGATGTTACAAACTAAACTTTATGTTAGACCTTTGTATAAGACAGTTGTCTTTCTTTCAGATGGAGTCTTAGTCTTAACCACTTTCTCCTCAGGTTCACCAAGAATTTGTCACCTGACAAAATCAACCTGAGCACCCTGAAAGGGGAGGGTCAGCTGTCAAACCTGGAGTTAGATGAGGAGGTTCTGCAGAACATGCTTGACCTGCCCACCTGGCTCGCTGTCACTCGGGTTTACTGCAACAAAGCCGCCATCAGGGTAGGTCTTTTCTTGTAAAACCTGATTGCCTTGGTGTCTTTTTTACTAAATTTAAAGTCTTTGTGAATGCATATTTATTTTAGAGTACAGGAGCTTTTACATTGTTTTTTGTGTAATCTTGATGTGATTGTAATGAATTCATGACATACGTTTGTCCTACAATGTGCCAAGTATTCTCTCTGAATCAGAAGCAGTGACAGAGTAGTCATTGTCAGTATCAGGGCAGCACTGTGGGAGATGGTGCCTTCTGCGGCGTACAGGGCAGAATACTCAGAATACTGTCTTCACTGACATGTTTGTCCTTACTGTCCTGTTTTAGATACAATGGACAAAGCTAAAAACAAGCCCAATATGCCTGGTAAGTATATTACTCAGTTAATCACTCCTCAATTAAATATTGGTCCCTGTTCTTTTAAAACAATCCTGCTATTACATTTTGTAGTATTTAGACAAAGTGGAGGTAGAAATGAGAACATGTGAAGAACCACGCCCCCCTAATGGTCCATCTCCAATTGCAATTACGGCAGGACAGAGGTACGTATGGATAAGGTGTAGAGTTTATTATCATAGTTGTCCGTTGACTATTTGTTCAACATTTTAAACTAACATTGGTTTTGTTTTCACAGTGAGTATGGTTTTGCAGAGAAGGTTGTTGAAGGCATGTCCATCAGAATCAACACGATCACCATCAAGGTTCAGGCTCGAGCTTTTCATGCCTCGTTTGAACTGTGGCAGCTCCAAGGCAGCAGCCTCAACCCCAAGTGGCAGCGCAGTGATCTCCGCTACACACGCATCTCTGACTCCAAGAAAGGAGAAGTACAGTGCTCTTTTATTGAATATGTTGTCAGACTGAGACTCATATTAGATTATTGATATTTTATATGTTTTCCATTGTGCACAGGTCTTAACCTTTAAAGAAATAAACTGGCAGAGTCTGCGCATTGAGGCAGATGCTATTGAGAGAGACGACCAGGACCTTGGCAGCACGCCACTACGTCTAATCACTAACCAGGGTCGCATCCGGATCGCACTGAAACGCAGAGTACGTTTGGACCAATATTCACAAATGCAAAATGACTTCATTATTATTCAATGTATTTAAACATTATTTATCACGTAGATAAAGGACTGTAACGTGCTGGCGTCCAAACTGTTTTTCATTCTGGATGACCTTTTATGGGTTCTGACTGATTCTCAACTCAAAGCCATCATCCACTACGCCAAGTCTCTCAGTGAGGCAATGGAGAAATCTGCTAAGCAGAGAAAAAACATGACTGCTGAATCCATGCAGGTGCTATTCACTGTTTCCTAAGTGCTTATCACCTTCTATGCTCACAGGCTGCGTACTTTACCATCACAACATTATGTTGTAGGCTTCTGCTGCGTCTCCTGGGATGCATAGTATTTGGACAGAGCCCACTCCTGCCTCCACTGGGAGCCCCAACAGTATGAGCCAATACTTTGATTTATATGATGTTAAAGAGTCCTCATATCACACCTTTATTTCCCGCTTGGACCTACACATATGCAATGATAGTTCTTCATCAGATGATGGTAAGATGAAGATTAAATAATCAATTAAACTTGAGCAGATCTTAAACGTTGTCATGTGACACAAACAGACGAGCCGCCCCCTCCGGCCTCACAAGGATCCTTGCAACTCACCTTCAAGAAACTGGGCTTTGACTTCTACCCCATCCACAGGCCTGGTAAGATGGGCAACTGGCCATTTTATTTATTCATAAAGTTAGCCCCAAGGCACAGCAGTGCTTTCACTCTCACACAGCCTCCATTCACAACAGACAGATTACTACTCAAGCAGAATAATTGCAGAGAGACTAGTCCCAGTACTCTCGGTGAAATTCCTCTGGATTACAACTGAGTATTCTCCAAGATAATTAGAAGCTAACTTTCAACTTAAACTATTTGAATAATACGGACAAATATGGTGTATTTTATTTTCTCACTAATGCTTTTTCTTGTTATAGCTGATGGATGTAAACACTGGGAGCGTCACAATGCAGCCATGGAGGCCCAGGCGCAGTGGACAGGAAAACTGTTACAGGACTTTCAGAGGAGAGCTGAGGCCTCTGGCTTTCCCGGGCCACTCTCTGAGGCTAATCCACCAACCAAGGACTCCCCTGACAGGACCAGGCAAGGTACTGACTTCAGCGATGGTGTAACTTCTAGACTCTGGAAAAGAGGGATATTCATTCAATTTTTTGTAAATTTTTTACATACAGAATCTACTCTCAAGACATCTGCCTCAGAGCACATTTCTTCCTCCGTTCGGTCTGAACTGAAAAGGCTGCGCTCCAGCTCAGTAGTGATCAGAATGGATGATTTTGACATTCACCAGGCAAGGCTCCTCAAACATTATTAGATTTACTTCCCCCAACAGATGTTGCAGTGTAATAAAAGGCCCTGTAAGAAGGCCAGTAGGAAATCCCCTTTAATGCATCATTCGTCACTCAACCTTTTTTCTAATGATCATGGTCACTGGTAGTTTTAGAACATTGCATAGTAGAAACGTAGTAGAAAGTACTTACTAATGAAAATGTACATGTATATGATTTAGCTCTGCAGAAAGAAGGAGCAGTTGTGTCATACAATAAATGTAATATTTATTTGGTGCATATCTGCACTAACATGTCTTCTGATGATTGTCTGTGGCATTTGTGTCATGTGACCGACCTCAGACTTAAAATTAACCCAAATTTAAGTGAGGTGTGAGAGAGATTAGTGGGCTAAAGGCATCTGCCCCACTTATACCCCAGCGGCAACAAAGGACTCTATTGAGACATGTAATCTGTAGTCTTGTTTGGAAAATGCATTTCAATTCTGCTGTGACAATTAAGTGAAGAAAATAACTATTTTTATTGATTAAGAGCTCTTTTATTCGTCCCACAGTGGGGACATTTATTAACCATTTGTAAACTAAAATGCTTATTTCTCTTTTGAGTGAAAAACACTTCCTCTTTTCATCCACAGGTGAAAGCTGTCAGTTTGCCGAAGAATATTGTATTCACTTTCCTTTTCTGTCTCTTATTAGGTGTCGACCAGAGGCCGTCAGAACAAAAGAACACAGTCTTTTCTGTCTTGTAACCGTAAATCTCTACATCTGCCTGACAACATACCAGCAATCCATCTGCAGTTTACAGAGTACTACTTTCCAGACAACTCCAGTTTAGAAGGTAAATGAAACATATGAGAATAACACTGTCGGCTTTTGTGTAAATGTCATCCACCTACCGACAAGGTTATTGCTTTGATTGAAATATGACATGAAATAAAATGTGGATACACAGTGGCATAGTGGATTGTGCTCTTGCCTCACAGCTACCCTGGATTCCCTCACAACTAAAATGCACTATAGGCTGCTCCCCAATGGGATCAGAACTGCAAAAGCACTATCATTGTTTTAAATAGCTATCCTTCACACCACTTTGTTATGAATATTGTAGATTTGAATATTTAGTGATTTTAATATTCTGGTTTTGATGCAGTGATGCGATTCCTTTGTTTTAGGACCCACCTCAAGCCTTTATGCCCAGCTGAATGGCATTCAGTTGTCTGTGGACCCGGCCAGTGTCCTGTGGATAAACCTGTTCTCACGAGGCCTTCTCCACACGTTAGATCAAGTTAAAGCTTTTTATCATTTGCAAGACAGCAGCAAGACGGAGGAGCATATAGACCTTCGTATGGATGCAGCACAACTGAAGGTAAGATTATTCTTTACTGGTTTAAACAACATATGACGGGGAACTTCTGATTATACAAGTAATGATGCCACTTATATTATAACACTTTTTGCTCTTTTGGCTATGGCCATGTTTAGCCATCCATGTAATGCTTGCGTAGCTTAAATATGCTAATTAGGGAAGTTTAGAAAGTTGGAATTAGCCCTGTACCAATAATTACTACATCGATTTATCGTTCAAAGAAAATAATCAATGAAACAATTTATTTTGGGTCGTCTGTACATTTTCTTTGCAATCGTGAAAATATATTTGCTGTTTTATTTGTATTATGATGCAGTTTGTGTGGACAAAGTAACTTTTTGTTTGTTTCAGCGTGCAGCTTCAGCTGTTTTGTAATCACACTAGTCTCTGTGTATTTTTAACATTTGTTATTGTAACAGGCCTAATTTCAATCATGTATTTTACTGGTATACTGTCCCCTCACCTGCTCATCACCTTGGCAATGATATAATTCTGATGACTGAAATGTGCCATCAGTTTGTGATTGCACCAGTACATATTCGTGCAGGATACATGAAATACATATGTCAAATTGTGTCAAATCCTTCCCCATCAGTGACGGGGAAGTAGGAATTGCATCTCCTTGTATCTATAGCAGTAGTTGCTTTGTGTTACATTCACTAAAGATTTATTTTCATTTTTTTTATAGATTGTATTTCCCCTGGATTCATCCATTTTGGACCATCCAGAGCGTCCACAGTCTCTGTCTATCGCCATCCCCCAACTAGCAATTAGCAACACACGCCACTGTCCTCATGGCACCGGAGCTGACCTCAGCAGTATCTACAACAACTTCACTGCCAACAATTTCTTTAAATCTCCTTCTGACTCTAAAGATCAAACTTCTTTTCATCCTCTTCCACCTGCCTTCCTCAGACACTCACAGGAAACTGAAACACAGCCTGTAGATCAAAAACAGAGGTCCCAAGATGTCTGGTCCCTGAGCCTGTCCCGGATCACACTGGGCTTTGATGGCGCCCGGAGATCTCCAAAAGGCAGGACACAGCCTTTCGTGGAGCCACTAACCATGTCAGTGTGGATGTGCAGACCAAGGAATTTCTCGTGTGAAAGCGAAGACGGTTCCTTTGCCTCTTTTCACTTCCTGGTGCATGCGATTACTCCGGTGAAAATATGGCTCAACCATTATCAATATGTGGCGCTGCTAAGAATGAAGGACGCTATGGCACGCTTAGGAGCAGAGCTGGGGCGAGACACCAAGGAGGTTATAAAGGTGAAAAAGAAGAAACCGGAAGCCCTGACCGCGTGTTTCTCTCTGCTCCTGGATTCTGCTGAGCTGGGGCTGCTGTTGCCTCCTGTGAGCTCCGAGCCAGAGCCAGAGGTGGCCCACACTCCGGAGACAGATAGCCCCAGCATCAGTGAGTCGGACCTCTACCCCTCTCACCACGTCCCCGACCTGGTCCCGGAGGAGAACGGGATCTCCTCGGTCAGCACTGGAGAAGCAGGCTTGGAGCAGGACGCAGCAGTAGAGGAAGCCTGTGAGGCGGTGGAGGAGCAAGAGGAAGGGACAGATGCACACAGCCCCGCCCAGTCCCCCGTCCTCTCGCCCGGCCAGTCCCCTGCACTGTCCCGAGAGCCGTCCAGCTTCAGTCTCGAGGGAGAACTGTCCAGCGCTATTACTGTCACCAAGGACGTGACCAAAGATGCCCTCACTGCCTCCCTGGACCTGACCAAAGGAGCGTTTTCAATGACGAAAGATGCCTTCAGCATGCTGAGCCGTGGTTCTGGAATGAGCAAGTTGTTCAGTCCAGCAAAGTAAGTGTTTATCCTGTCCTGCTTTTTGTTTTGAAAGCACTTTGAATAGCATGGTCCACAGTTGACACTACACACTCAGACAATCAGCAGCACGTGGAAGAGACCTGTAATAAGAAGTTCAATATTTACACGGACCGCAATTTTTTTTAGCACCTGCGTTCAAATCCCGCTCAGAACAGGGCCTTTCTGAGTGGAGTTTACATGTTCCCCTCCATGCCTGCGTAGGTTTCCTCCGGGTGCTCCGGTTTCTCCTACCACTAATAAACATGTACAATAGGTATGAATGTAATGAGGGATTGAATAGATGGTGTTGATTGGGGGGTTTGATGTGGGTTTGTGTGTTTGACGCCTCGCTTCCTTCATCACCGTGTGTAAATGGAAAATTATCGGATTTTTGAACATTGTAAAGCGCTTGGTCTGTAAAATGCGCTGTATAAAAAATTATTTACTTCAAATTATTTACAAACATAGACAAACAAAGACAAAACAGTTAGACACAAATTCTATAATCTACAACTTTAGTATCCAGAACGATACCTGACTGGACCCACTACTCACAGTTTACACACACAGAACGCCCAGCTCAACCTTTTCACTTATTCTGTAAGTAGTAACTCACTTGACTCTTACTCAATTTAACTAAACAGCTCCTCTACTCACTCGTGATGGATCAAAGCATTTTCTACGGCTTCCTCATTCGGTTTGGCTTCAAGGATAGTTGTGGATCTGTTCGCACCCCCTCTTCTGCTTCCCGGTTTACTCCACTGTGTGTAATATTGTTGCTAGTATGGGTTTGATATGACATGCTTCTAGTAATCTTGTCCACGCTTTGGAAATCAGATAAGCCAGATAAATATTGCCAGCATTATGTCTTGGCTGCTCTCTTTCAACTGTGTCATTTTCTCAGATCATCCCAATCTTTGTACAAGGGATATTGCAAATGTTCCCTCTGGAAATTGATCATACTGTATCCTGAATCTGAATTGCACAGTCCTCAACTACAATGTCCTCCCCCCCGTTTGGACATGCAGCAGATTGCAGTGGTGAAAGTAGTCTGTCATTCAAACCATGGATTCCAATTCAGAAGCATTCAAGATAGTTCCAGCATTAGTAGGGGACTTTAGACTGCAGCAAATATTGTGCAGGTGAAAGTTAGAAGTCTTTCATCCTGTCCAAACCTGTGAAAATCTATTTTCATTAACCGTCTACTGTGCGCCTGCTTTACTGTGCTATTCATTAAACTTGTGACGTGTATTTGCTCTGACGTCTGTGCTTGTGTTACACAGGGATTCGGGCCAGGCCTCAGAGCAGTCATCTCCTGTGCCCAGCCTGCGCTCCATGAAGCAGTCCCCGTCTCAGCATTCGTTTGACAGCGCCATTCTGGACGGCAGTTTGCCCGACGAGAACCTGTCTGTGGATAGTGACCTGAGTGAGGGTTTTGTGGTTCTCATGGGCTCAGGTGCTTAGAGCTTGGTCAAGTCATTTTTTATCTGGGTCTGACAGATAAGGGGTAACTGGGTGTTCTCCACAGAATCAGGAGTGGAGTCCATGCGTCCGAATCATACAGGCATGAATCCAGGCAGTCGGGGAAGCCCAGCTCCAGGCACAGACGGAGGCTCGTCTGCTGACCTCAGCAGCTCTCTGTCCCAAAGCACGGAAGACGTTTCACAAGATATGGTAAGGAAGGTCTCCAAGTCTCCAAGCATACTAAAAAGTTACAATGCTTTGAATATCAGTGAAGTTACAACCTATAAACTAAATAAACTAGTAAGTAAACTTTATTTATATAGCGCCCTTCACAGACCAGGGTCACAAAGCGCTTCACATAGTATAAAAACAGACATATAAATTAGACATACAAATTTTTAAAGGCCAAGACAACCATGTAAAAGAATACAGCAAGACAAACTTACGCAAAAGCCTGAACAAATAAATGGGTTTTAAGTTGACTTTTGAAGCACTCAACAGACTCTATAGAACGCAGAGAGAGCGGGAGAACGTTCCAAAGCTTGGGAGCAACAGCCTGGAAGGACCCGTCTCCTCTGGTCTTGAAGCGAGTGCGTGGAACCATCAGGAGGTTCTGATCCACAGACCTCAAAGCCCTGGCTGGGGTGTAAGGCTGGATCAGGTCACTGATGTAAGACGGGGCCTGACCGTGCAAAGCTCTGAAGGTTAAAACCAGAATTAAAACTAGTGACAAGGAAGAGGTGTAGGGTCAGACAGTGTATGGGCCTGTGTCCTATCTGAGTGAGTGTGTTTTGTGTTGTATGTGTGTTGTGTTTGCCTTTTTTCTATATTTTTTACATTTGTTTACAAATCAAATCTTGCATATATTTTCTGCAAATCTTTTCTGATTTTGTTTCTACAGGCCTCAGCGTTCATGCTTCTTCTGAGTGGGATCGCTTGTACCATGGAAGCAAAGGGAGATCATCAAATGGTTGTGGCAGAAGCTCAGAACCTGGTCCCTGTGCACTTGGGGAATATCAGGAGTACAGACATCCAGGCTGGGCTCGTACAAGGTAAACAAACCATCCAAAAGCATCCTGCGTTACTTGTGCATTTTTGTTATGTAGCAGTACAACATTGTGTGTGTTCTCAGTTCCGGATGGAGTGCTACAGAAGCAGAACAAGTTCCGAAAGGTTCCTGCCGTCCGTCTCAGGACAGAGATGGGGGCCTCAGCGGCAGAGAACCCTGCTGATTACGGGAGCGTCATGAGCATGAGTTTGCAGGACTGTTCCGTGGAGCTGCTGTCATCTACACTGGCCAACATCGGGCCTTTCCTCGAGGATGAATTTGCTGTCGACAGCCCGCCCATGAAGCTTCACATGAATAATATCACCGTTACTATAAAGGTAAGCCAAATAAAATCCATCCATCCATCCATTTTCTACCCTTTAATCCATTTCTGGGTCAGGAGGTGGCAGTCAGAGATGCCACCCAAGTCTCATAGCACCAGCCCCTCACTGACCCTCTGCAGGTGGTGAGTCCACAGGAGGACGGCTGCTCTCTGAGTGTGAGCATAGCCTTGATCTTTCAGCGGGGGCTTTGGGCAAAGTGGGGTTAAGTGTCTTGCCCAAGGACACAACGACAGCAGTCATCAGTGGGAGTTGGTGGAGAAGGTGCAGAGGTGGGAATTGAACCCACGACCTTCTGGCCATAAGGCCAATTCTCTACCAACTGAGCTACTGTCAGTTGGTAGAGATTATTATTATTTATAGATGGTTCCTTGTCAAACCATAAAATTGGGCAGGCGACAGTATTTCAATTAGTATTTATCGCAGGGTTGTCGTCAGGATCTTTAGACAGCTTGGGACCCTCGAGTAAAAAAAAAAAAGGGATTTGTTCTTTGGATTATATTGTACACAACTGATGATTGTGGATGTTATTAATACAGAAGTAGCATCTTACAAAAATTTAATCAGAATTATTTGTATTGCCATTTTAAGTCACAGGAAGTCACCAACTAAGAATTTGCTTTAGCATACGGTGCAAACAAGTTCTACAAAAAGTAAAAAATAGATATAAAGCCATGCATACAAAATCTTAATACAATTCTAATATATATGTACATACAATAGACATTTAACAGAGGTGTGACAGAAGTAATCTGTTGCGTGCGGTTTTTGCCTCCCTCATATCCAGAGACTCTGAACCCAGACTGGACCCGACCTAAGCCAGGTCTAGACCAAAGTTGCTTTACATGCACACACACACGCATACGCTAATGTTTCTACTGTAAAACAATTTGCAGCACAGCGTTGAAGCTGCTGTCAGCCTCGCTCAGGTGGGCGCAGTGACGCGGCTTTTAGCTAAAATACAGTCACAAAGCGAGCGACAAAAAGACGAGAACACTTTATTGTATGTATTTTAATATAAATGATCAAATCCAGACACACACACACAGATTCCAGCCAAACTACTGAGAACAAATCATGATGTTGTACTCTGTAGGATGACGGCCCCCGTATCTATCCCACGGCCCCTCAGCCTGTTCCAGCTACATTCATTGTAGATCAGCTGATGCTCGAGCGCGGGGACGATGGCATCCTGAGGATCAATGGTTTGTATTTCATGAATAATCATAAGATTATCTAGTCACAAACATGCGTAACACTACCGCTTATTGATTACAGCTGAAAGCGCGGAACCCAAACCCAAATCTGCCTCAAATGTCCCATTGGACCAGGATAGAGAATCTCAACAGGACCAGGTAAAAGCTCTCTCTGAACATGTTTCTGTGTGTGCTTTGTGTATCTAGACTATTAGTTTAGAGTTTTTATCATATGACGTAGCTGTGTGTATAATCATGATACAATATAAAGATGGCTGAAGCTTTATTATCCGTCTCTATCTGCCTTTAAGTACTGTTAGAAACCAGTGTTTATTTCTTGGAGGTATTCCATGTCACCAGTGTGTGTAAATGAGTTGTAATTACACCTACTGCTGTCATTCAGAACATGATATCTGCACTGTGGCGTGAGAGCTCTGTTTAGCGATCTTACTCACCGATCAGAATCTGTCGCTGTATCTTTCACCATTTCTTTTGCAGACTCGAACCTCAGGAGATCAGCTCTCTGATGTGCAGGCAGCTCTCAGTCAGGCACTCAGTGAGAGAGATCGCCTTCTGTTGGAGGTCAGGAAACATGACCCCACATTCTCTCTGTGAGGTACTGTTCCTCAGCCTCTCCAGGACCTTCTGCTGCTTATATATGAGTTTCATCAACCAGCATATGAGGTGTGCGAAAACTGTAGAGTGGGAGAAACTATAATCTAGGCTTCTTTCTAGATTTCATCACAGCACATATGTGAGAATATTATTGTAAGATAAAGCTCCGACCCACAGAATGTGTGGGTAGGAGCTTTAAACCTCACTCATGACTTATTTCTGTATCTCCAAAGTAGCATCTCCTTGACATTTTTACCCCCTCAATGACGTGTGTATTTTTAAAGAAATGTTATAAACAACAAGCAACTCAACATTATGCATGCTAAGCTTTACAGTTTTGTTGTGTGACTAAAAACACATACTTGAAAATGTGATTTCCTCCATAGAATGTGTAGAACTCATCTAAACTAGCTGTTTGGTCTGGTACATGTTTGTAGTGTGTGTTTGAACATAGGAGGTTTGCACTTTGTAAGCGGAACTATGCTGCGTTCATATCTATAGACTTATCACCACGCACTTATTCACTGATATCTACTCATGCACACTTTCATTTGCCAATGTTTACTTTCTTTTTTGTACTTTGTGTTTTAAATATTTGTTTTTTTACTGTGAAAGAATGAGCTCTGTGGTTGAACAACCTTCAAACACTTGCCTTTAAGCTGTAGACGCAGGTTGCACAGCACCTTCAGTATTGTAACTGGGTCACTGGAAGTTTGGGATTATCGCATGTTTATTTTATGAATACATGTTTGAAGTACTATGTTGTCAAATTGTATAGTGTTAACACAATACTATAATTAAAGTATTTTTCCGTTTATGCCCTTTTCAAGTCATATCAAAGTCACAGTTTAAGGACCATAGCATTGATGACCACAATATACAAACCAGACAAACATCATCTTGCTTGTACATCTTCAAGGCCTAATTTAATTCCACAGTTGTCATAACTCAAGATGCCAAGATATAATTATTTATTGTTACTTTTTGATATTTTTTCCTTTCATTTCATGAGCTGTGTCATGGATAATGTTGATACAAAATCTCATTCAAGCTTTAATTTGTGGAACTTTCTTTCATTGCCTCTGGAGATGCAGCGTTTTACCTGATTAGTTGCAAATTATTTCTGGCCACAGCAATTTCCTCAACTGTCAATAGGATTTGTCATGGTTAACTGGCGACCTCTAGTGGTCTATTATGCTAACTGAACATGTATCTGAAACTTCATCTCCTTTTGCCTTTAAACTACGAATGACTGAGTATACATTCTTTGTGGAATGTAATGGTGAAAATAGAAAATGTAAAGCAATAGAATTTCAAAATGTTGTTATCATATCTAGTATATACGGTACAGTGTCTCTATAGTTGCTTAATCCCAGAAACAGATGCAAGAATTTACAGGTTTCTCATGTAAATTCCAATCAATATTGCCAAAAATAATAAGAGTTGAGTTTGACGTTGTACGTTTCAAGTGATATCGGTACTTTGTTGGTTATATGCTGGACTGATCATGTAGCTACCTACTAAACCAGAGTCTAATTGAGTGATCCGTAGCATTCCCCTTTTATCGAACAAACTGGTGCTTTAGCCTTTCTTTGCACACGGAGGCAGGGCAGGTTTTTACACGTTAACACACAATCAAAAGTGCAAACTCTCATGTAACCGTGATCCTGCCACAGGAGGAGATGCACTGGGACTGTTTTGTGTGAGGTCATGCCTTGTGGTATTTGCACTTGTGTGGTAACATTCACAACATTTTGCACTTGTAAAATAAACAAATGCAGATGAATTATTGTAACATTTTCCAATTTGATGCAAATGTCATTGTGTCTACAGTATTTTACAAATTGTGTGTGATTTTTAATTTTGCATTATTTTATGTGACAAATAAATATAATTGGTTCTGTGAACCAAAGTAAAATGTGACATTTCTTTTAAAGGAGAAAATAAATGTTGAAGAATTATTTTGTTGTTTTTTAATGTGTCTAGTTTTCACTAAAAAGCCAAGCATAAACAATACTATTTATGCTCTGCCATATAGGGTATACATTTACTGTAAATATGATGAGCACAAACTGATTTATGACAACACAACACAGATAAGAATGCACATTTGCATCTGGATTGATAAATATACTCATTACTGTCTTAAACCGTGTGTTGCCAGTATCTTCACCTGCAAATTGACACAACCACCTGCTGCTGTTGCTCAGGCTGACCCCAGATTATCAGAGAAACTGGCAACGATGAGAATCAGCTGGAGGACCACAACACTAAATGTTAATCGTGACCATGATGGCTGCATTGTTTATTTTTAAGAATGAGTCTGCAATATAGAACAGAAATAAAGGTTTATTTTGTATCTATTCAGAATACAGATCATGTTTTTAAAACTTAAAACCAAATGAATTAAATATGTTACAACACAGTAATGATGACCACTGACTTGACTCAAAAGAATACCCATAAATACTCATAAAACAATAGTCATCTTAAGGAGCATTGAATAAACAAAGATTATAACAGGCAAACTTGGTAATAAAGATCAATTAAAAATAATACTTTTATGTTTTGTGTTTGAAATCTGTTCACGACTTTTCAACCTCCGCACTGCCTCCCTCATGTGTTTGGGCTGAAGCGGCGGAGTGTCTCCCCACTTCTCACATACGTCTAAAGCTGCGGAGAAAGAAGCACACTGAATCACACATGTCTATTACAGTTCTTGTAATCATATCAACCACTGACCTTCTTCAACTATTTCCCCAGCAAAAACCTTGGCTATACCGGACATGGCAATGACAACATTCTGGGATACAGACGACCCTGTTATGGACTGAATGAGCTGAAAGGGAAAAGAAGTTTGCAAAGTTTTCTAGGATATGATTAGGAACACAAGATCTGATCCATTCTGAAGGCTTACCCTCTTAATGGCAGCTTTGGGGAAGGCTGATCGTCTGTACATTTCATAGCGATTGAGTTGTTCCTCAGAAAAGGACGAAACCAAAACCCTACCACAAAGCTCATGTTAATATCAATGATAACATGTATTTGCATACAACTTTCAAAACGTACTGCATCTTCTGAATCTCATCCTCATCTACTTTGTGGCGCTTCTCCTTTTTCTTGTCTGAACCTGGAGCTTGACCTGGAACTGTTCCAGGGACGGAGCCTGGGACTGGAGCAGAAGCAGGATCTGATGAAGCAGGAGCTGACCCGGACACTGAGGCTGACACTGGCTCTGCCTTGAGTCTTTTAGACGGTGGCTGACCAGAGGTGCCTTCATCCTCATCTTCAGCAGAAGCAGCACCCGATTCCTTTAGGAGGTGAACTTGTTTTAGTAAGAGGGCAACTTTAGTTAAACAGACTTGTCAAGAGACCGACAACCCAGATAGTAGAATAGTTTTGATTGGATCAGTTCTGAGCTTTAAAATAAGGTATGCTGAGTCTATAGATTAATATTTGACAGAAGTTTACTTGTGTTTACCTTCTCACCACAGCTAGATTAGCGCAAGATATGAGGTTTTTGGGCCCAAAAAAATTAAATTCCAGAGGTTCTGAGCTTTACATCGATGTTTAGAATGTCAATATTGGGTGAGCTGATGTTAGCTGGATGACAGTGAACTTGTGTTAATGATCTGAAGACTACTTTAAGCAAGGCAGACGAACACATTACATGACACATGGGGCCGGCAAATGGCCCTTAGTTTGGACATTCCTGCTTTAAAGCAAAGTTTACAAAGTGAACTGACGACTTCAATATTTGTTTAAAATAATGCCATAAAACATTGCATACATACAGCTTTGAGACTTGCCTGTGGCTGCTCTGTAGGAGGATCTTTGATTTCTTCTGCAGACTTGGCTGTGTCTTGAAAATGCTCTTGCTTGTGAATTGACGTTGGATGCTCCTCGTCTTTAGGAATGGCAGTAGATATCTTCTCAGGGCTATTTTCTGGTTTTATCCTTGCTGGGTCTGCCATTTTGTCTGCAAATGAGTAAATCGGCCTGAATTAGATTTTATTTAATGCATTTTATGTATAATAATACGCATTGACAAGAGCAATAAAATCGATAGTATTCATACGGTGTGATCAAATTGAAGCCTACCTTGTTTGTAGCTAGATTGATGCTATAACTGTCTCAAAACTAAATAATTCACTTTCTGAAGACAGGATTTGGAATCCACGAGCGACTATTAAATAGCTTACGTGATACCGTTCTCTAAAACATGTATGATTTTGGGTTCAACAATAAGGCAAATGTTCGGGTTTGCAGAAGCAAAAGCAGGCAGTGAATGCTCGCTCTTTTGTTTTTGTGGAGATCACTTCCGCTTCCGGTCTCTAATAACTTTATTGATACTCAAAAACAAAGCAGATTTATTTTTTTATTTTTTACCGGCATCGTTTACGATCATCTCTTATGAAATAAGTCAGCGAATCTAAAACACAACAATAGTATAAACGCTGAGGATTATACAAAATATTTGTTATATTGTTTTTTTCTGGTGCTAAATTGTGTTAAAATAATATAGAGATAGTATGTTAACAAAAAAGTAGACAAAGGAGGATTGACATATTTTTACCACAAACTAGAAAAGGAATCGCAGTTTTGACCATTTTGACCCAGCCGCCACCTTCCCCAAACCCCCAGGGCGGGCGTGCAGGCAGGCGGGGGGAGAGGACGGTGAGAGCGGAGTGGGCTTCTGCTTCTGCGGCGAGAACGAGGTTTCAAGGAAGTGACGGACCGTGCTCGGGAGACTGGTCAGAGGAAGTTTGCTCGTTCACGGTACTGGGCTGCCGACTGCCGTAAGAAACTTTTCTCTTGTGGATACTAGCGTCGCCGTGGCTCGGTACAAGCGGCAGACCGAGAGAGAGAGAGAGCCGCTCGGGAGAAGGCTTTCCCTTTTTGGTACAAACCGAGGACGCATCGGGAAAACACTGATCATAGAGGAATTCCACTAACCACAACCTGAAACCCGTCTTCCTGTCTCTTCCCCGCGCCTTTCTCTGATTCTGTCTGAGATCAGCGATGGGGAAGGAGCAGGAGCTTCTCGAGGCGGCTCGCACGGGGAACCTGGCCGCTGTGGAGAAACTGTTATCCGGGAAGAGGCAGTCGGCTGGGGCTGGCGCTGGATCCTCTGGCATAAGCGGCAACAGCGGTGGCACCTCCTCACACACTCTGTCCAGTCTGCTTAGGTAAGACTCTACACAGGAACACATATACGTGATGGTTGATGGGGAATAGACCCAGGAGTTGGTTGTGATTTGTTGGTCAAATACATGTTTGTGCGCCCTGCCACTTGTAAACACATGATCCACTTCCACATAGTAACGCTTGCTCTTGACTTGACACTGTCCAGGAGTGCTGCGTCTTTGTTAGCTTCAGCCATGAGTTGCATAAATACCTTTGCCCTATTATGTTCAATAACCTTACTGTACTTCGTATAACGTTAATCAATGATGTGATAAGCAAGAATGCATTGCAAATAGATCAATCAGTGGGTCTTCAAACATGTAACAAGCAATGCACATTTCCAACGGCTTGGTTTAATAAGCCCATGGGTGTTTATGCTTAATACAATTGCACAGCGCACATCAGGTTTCTTCAGTAGTTTCCCCCCTTTCATATTGAACTCAACTCATTCACACTGCACGCAGGCATATGAGAAAATGTCATAGAATGTCATGGATGTTCATTGTTTGTGAATGTCATTGTCATAACAACACATCTGTAATGCTTGTGTTGTGCTTTTGTAATGCCCTTCTTTTTGTTGAATACTTTACTTATTGGATATATCAATGAGGCAAACAACAGAGGACTTTGCTTTGTAAACATAGTCATAAGAAGTAGCCTGGGAGATTATTGGCCAACTAAAGACATGTGCGATCGATTGATTAAAAATGCTATAATCAAGGTTTTGAGTACACCGGCTTAAATATACAATCAAAGGGCTTCTGAGAAATCCTGTCATTTAAATAACATAATTATTCAACTAATACAAGTTTTGTCTTTTTTGACTCAATCGTCTAGCATTTACAAGAACTGCTATTATCACGACACAGCATTTGTCTATCTGCCTTCAAAATGACTCTTCGAAAATGAATCCTATATAAGGTATGCTCAGAGCTTCAAAGCGGCTTCACTCCTTGCATTGAGACAGATAACACTGTCATTGTCGAGTTAAAGCCAACAAGGGCATATGATTAATGCATGTTGCTTTCTCCGGCCTTATTTCAATACTGATCACATGCAGATGCCCTGGCTGTCAATCAGAACAGATTATTGCTCCCATGGGAACCGTGCTCAAACCAGCTCCATCTTGAGTCGCTGCGATGCCTGGAGGTGAAGCGTTCAAGCATATACTGTATGTTACTTAGTCCAGTGTACTCAAGATAATTACATTAAAGCGTCCTAATCGGAAATCCAATTCAGTAATGTCATGCAGTCACAGCCAGTCTCGGCTTTTGTTGCAGATCTGTTGGACGAACGGGCCCATTGTGTCATCTATTCTGACTTAAGCAATCAGTGTTTTGCAATGGCAGCCCAGGGGAATCATTGTCTAAGCTTTAAGGAAATAAATGAATTAGTTATGTGGTAGGTGGTGAGTGAGCAGGGCTTTCGCTAAGACATCGGACTGAAGACTGTGTAGACATGAGACTCATTATTATGACATAGTTTTTATTAGCCATTGTAAAATTATATATAGTTGTTGTTATGCTCCAAGCTCTTCTTTGTTTATTTAGTTGTGATAATGTGGGGCTGGCCAGATGAAATTGCAATAATTCAGATTCTCAGATTCTTTGCCATTTGCAGTAAAACAACATTGGAATATATTTGCAAACGTCCCCAGTGTGCACAAGACAAGTACACAAATAAACAAGTTAAAAGTACAAGAATAAGAAAAACAAAAACAATAACAGTGTCAATACTTCCACCTGGTTGAGCTCATTTTTAAATCAGAGCCCTGACGATGCTGTTTAAAGGCATAAAAATGCGTCTGCCATTCATGTTAAAATCATATACTGTATGTAGTTGGACAATGCTAACCTTCTCGCTCATCCATCCATCCATCCATCCATTTTCTACCCTTTAATCCATTTCTGGGTCAGGGGGGTGGCAATCAGAGATGCCACCCAAGTCTCATCGCACCAGCCCCTCACTGACCCTCTGCAGGTGGTGAGTCCACAGGAGGACGGCTGCTCACTGAGTGTGAGCATAGCCTTGATCTTTCAGTGGGGGCTTTGGGCAAAGTGGGGTTAAGTGTCTTGCCCAAGGACACAACGACAGCAGTCATCAGTGGGAGTCGGTGGAGAAGGTGCAGAGGTGGGAATTGAACCCACAACCTTCTGGCCTTAAGGCCAATGCTCTACCAACTGAGCTACTGTCGCCCTTCTCGCTCAATGAAGCCCAATAAGTGCTCATGGATGAAGTTTTGCTCTGACTCGCTCTAGCTCCTATTGTCTTGTACTGAAAAGTTACCTCCTCCAACTCGGTAAACGTTTGTGTCACCTTTTTGTGGTTTAGCGTTTTCTATGATCCTGTTTTTATTTTGATAATGTTTTATACATTCACATATGAGCCATAAGGATTGACCAATCAGATGCCTTCATTCAGGGGAGAAACTTCAGCTTGAGTTAGTAACCATGTTAGTCATGTCAGAACAAATGCCTGTATAAGGAAATTAGTTTGGGTGACGTCAGCACTCGGCCAGTCCACTGTCTGGTTGAAATTGAAGATTTCTGCCGCGTCTCAGATGATTTCCTTTCTCCAATGTACGTTTGACCTAATTTTCATCCCTTTAGAGCACTCTTCAAAGAGTTCAAAGCACTCGCAACACCTAGATATTATGTATCAGACCCAAACTGTACTAACAAGAAAAAGCTATAAGGTTTTGATTAAACTTGTGAATTAAGGGTTTGATCTGGTAAATGAAATACCAAAATCTTCAGCTTCATGGCTTCTGCCGTTTGGATGATCACTTATGGAGTGGTGGTGAGTGAGCAGTGCTTTACCTTAGACAACAAACTGAAGTCTGCATGTGACATTGTTTTGTATTTGTATTTAGCTAATATAAGAATCATGAATATGGCCGATTTATCTCAAAGATCCAGACTTTGTAATTAAGTCATGTCTACTGTATGTTGTCACCAATCACAGGTTTCATCCAGTGTTTGCTGTTGCGTTTTAATCTTGTCAAGAGAGATTTAGTGAGAAACAATGTTCTCTCACTCTTCTCACTCACGCTTTGTCTAGTAATTCATTGTGATATAATTCTCAAAATAGAGATTTTAGCAAATAGAGAGAATACCATCTCCCACTGCATTTGATTGGAACTGTATGAATGAAAAGTGAACTTTGATTTGGGAAAATTGCAAAAACATCTGCTGTCTAGATTTAAATTCAATTGTTTAGTTGAACAGGGAAAAAAAATCAATTGCTTTTCATGAATGAAAATTAAATAAAAATGCTAAACTGCTCTAAAACACATGGTTTATTGTCTGAGCATTGGCTGTAGGCTGAAGAACCCAGCTGATCAATGGTGATTAGACATAATTAGATCTCAATTAAATGAAAAAAGGTGTAATTGGGTTATTGGTGCTTGTACACACGGCCCTACAGTTACTCGTCTTTGGCAATACTTGGATACTTGTATTCCATTATGTTCAGTATAATGTCATTTATGATTATTTTAATGTCATTTATAGCAGAACAATAAACACTTGAGTATGTCTTGTATTACTTTGACATAAAAATAATACTTTGTCAAAGCATTGTCAAAAGAATGAACTCATTAGAAAATAAATCAGGTATGGTTCCTTTAATACAATTACTAAACAGGACAACATTTGACCTTTCTTCAATATTTGTCACCAATTTTGAAATATCAGATGAACTTTGCGGCCTAACCCTAACCCATTAAAAATATATAATTTTGATTTCTAATATGACTTCAAACTTAATAATTGTAGTGGCATCAAAATTGGTATCAAGTATTATTTCTAGCATCATATCGAGTTTTAAAAGATAGTTTCTTGATAACACTGGTTAGAGGTCATGTACAGTGCAGTGGTGTGGCCTCTCGTTTTGTCTCACCCGACTATATATGTATTTGACCGATGTTGGTGATGTTGATGAGGGTCATGTGATAACAGCAAAAACTAGTTTCATAGTAGTATCATAGTAGTTATGTCATTACCTGAAAACCGCAACCTGACCAATAAATGTGCAACAAATTCCTCACATGATTCTTTGTGTGACCTTGGTCTGTGAAATGCGCTGTATAAATAAAGATTACTTACTTTCCACTGATCTGCAACGGCTCATCCCAGTGCTCCCAGCTCAGTTTAGTCGCAAGCCTTGATCTAGTTCTCTTTGTTTTCTCACAGAGCATTTCACCAAACATAATCCTTGAAATCACCTCATTTAACGTGTTCGTTGGGTTCATGTTGTAGAATTCTATTTCAGTTGGGAGGCAAGGGTCAAGGCAACATTTTTTCAAAGACATTTTTAAAAAGATAGTGGCCAAATGTTTTCCCATATCAGTATTTGATAGTATTCAGATTCATAAATCCACCATACTCAATATGTCTGTCTGTTCTTTCTACTGGCCAACATCATGCGCCTTCCGTATATTGTCACCACTTCTAGACATATTTTTATTATGAGAAATTTATTTTACCATAATTGATATACTGGCAAAGAATATGAGGAACTTTGACGTTTATGTTTTATGTGGACTGACTGAGGAATGAAATCAGCTCTGAAGTAAGACTAGTTACTATAGGTACCAGAAAAGATCGTCCAGCTGCCTCCCAACACAATTTTAACTATAGGCTCGTTGGAATGTTGTGATGACACATGAACTATGCAAGCTATTGGCAGAGATAGCAAGAGAAGATACAGCCAAAACGTTACATATTCCCATTTTTATGATTTTTGTCTCGACTTGGTAAAGCCATGTCACAGTCAAACAGACATATAATGAATTCCTTTGGACACGTTGACAGATTTAAGCCGTTTTCCAGGATCCCCAAAGCCCTTACTTATTATCCTGCATTAAAAACACTAATTTATTTGATTGTCCCGGGCGGCGTTGGTGTACTGTTCTCTCCGTGTAGACTTTTTATTTTTGCGTTGCTGCTCAGGAATGGGCTGCTTGTCAGAACTTGCGGTGTTTTTGTAAGCAGCTCTGCTC